TTTTCCCATTACACCTGTCATGGAAATAGGGACATAAGGCGTGTTCTAGTTTGTTCTTGAAGAGTCTCTCCTTGCAAGGCCCAGCCCAGCCCAGGACTTGACTGCTTGTTAATGGGTCCCAGCATTCAGGGTAGCTTGTGGCAAGGGTTTGCCTGCAGACTTCTCAAAAGATGGATTGTGCCCCCCAACCCCCACCATAGTCAGCAGTCATTAGGCCCCAGCCTCCTGAGTGAAGAAGAGCTCCCACACTCCACTTTCTTTGGGGGTCAGTCACTGGTGGGGTTAAGAAGCAGTTCAAACTCTATAGTCTCCCCCTGCTTGTGAAACAGCAAAATGCTCCAGACACAGACTTTGGAAAGAGACCCAAGCATGACTGCAAAGCCCCACAGATTCACACACCGTCTTTCCCAAGGTGGCCCATGGCCCCGGGCACCCAAGAAAGGCCGGCTGGGTCCCCAGCTAGGGCCCCTGCTAGTTGCCCTTCCAGCCTGGGGCTCTGGGCCAGCTTCCTCCTCTCCTAAATAATGAATTAGCTCATGTCTGGGGTTTGTAAACAAAGCACACCGAGAGAACTAGCATTTCCAAAGTTGCTTACTCAAAAGGAGGAGAGCAAAAAGCAGAGTTTGTTTGGCAGAGTTCAAGTAAATCGATAAATGCAAGGCCACCACCAGAGAAAAACTTACCCCCGTTCCTGCCAGTTCCTCCTCCTCAACTGTGAAACTCTGTCACCAGGCAACAGGAGACTTTGGGACCTGGAGTTAATTAGCATAATCTTGACGCCAGCCTGCAAGGTGAGAGAACACAATAGGCGACAGTGTCTCCAGGACACCGCTATGTGGCGGGGATGCCCGGGCCTGGGCTCCTCCCACTTCTTGCAGGGGGGAAATTTCCTCCTGGCCGCCCCCAGCAGCACGGTGGGCACTTCACCACCAGGCAGAGCCAGCTTGCCCTGGCCACACCGGGAGTGGACATTGCTAACAGGGAGAAACAGCTATGCTTGCCCCTTTTAAGGGACAGATTACCTTACTTCTATATGAAGCACTGAGGGAGTCCCACAAACTATCACTCGACTTGTTGTTTATCCAAATAGCTTTTTCAGTTCTTTGATCTGTGAGAGAGCTCTCTTTTATCTGTTTATTTGAATTTAATTATTTCTTGCAGTTTTCTCTTGGTGCCCTTTTCATGCTATGAAGTCAGAATGACCATAATGCTTGTAAAAACCATACAGTTACATAGTCATTTTTTTCCTCACTTAATATTATGTCAAATGCTGATGTGTAATTTCTAAAATCTACCTTTCGATTGAACGTGTAATACTGAATCTGGGGGACTGTGCTTTTCCTGTTGTTTCCAATTTGGTGCTATCGTGAATAGGGCTGCAACAAATGTATTTGTACATTTATAATCTTTTTGTTCAGTGTTTTTCTTTAAATTAAATCCCCAGAAATTGAGAAGATCAGCAAAAAGTTACATATGAAAACTATTATGCAAATAATAGAATAACCTCATAGAAAAATTTGAAAATGCATACATAGAAATAAAGAAATAAATATGCTCTAAATTGCACTACCCAAATCAAGTTGGAAATAAGTAAGATAATTAGCAAATAAATAATTTGAACTACAAAATGAATCCAAGCACTACACATTTTGAAAAGTACAAAAAAAAGCAAAAGGAAATAGTTGAAATTAAAAAATAAAAATATGGCTAACCACAAAAACTTCAAACACATGGATACCACCACTGTTTTGTTTAATGCAAAACTAAAAGAAAACAGGTCATTTAATTTAGACAATAAATGGATTTAAAATAATTACCAAATTCAGATAAGTAGAAAATTAAAAGTTACCCGAAGTCCTATGACCCAGTGTATTTCTAACTAGACTATTTGTAAAAGTACATCATTTAAATTAGAAAATAAATAATGTGAAAATCATAAAACACAGATAAGCAAAAATAAAATCAATATTTTACAGAAGAAAATGCACAAGAAGATAAATACATTTTAAAATGCAGATATGTAAAACCTCATGAGAATTAAAGCCGCTCAATTTCAGCATCTGGAGGTAACTTCCTGTTCTATACCCTTCCAGACTTTCAATGCCTCTACAGCTTCATGTTTATCTCATGGGTATGCAGTAATAACTTGGAGACTTCGCTAATGCTCATTGTTTAACTCCAGAGGTACACAAATTACTAATTTGTCAGGTAACTGCCTTCTAAGTCAGCCAGAACTAAGGTTTTTGCTGTTGTTGTTTTCTGTTTACTTTTGTTTTCTTTTCCCCGTCAGAGGAAAGAGCTTGTCTTGTGAGTCAGGGCCCTGGGTCAAGGTTTAGTCTGGACGGATGCTTTGCACAGCCCAGCGTGTCAGGGGCTCACGGATCCCTGCTCTGCGCTGGCTTGGGGTGAACTCTCCTTGGCTTGACGCCACTCCCTCGCCCCACCCATCCACTTCCTCATCTGTATGTGAAGTAATGGCTGCTTTCTTGGGTCACTGTGGAAATTAGACAACGGGTAAAAAGTCTTTGCAATCTTTAACGTGTGATAATTATTGGTATTATTATTATTAGGTCTATGAGTGAAGGGGATGGGAGATACAGGCTTCCAGTTACGGAATGAATAAGTCACGGGAGTAAAAGGCACAGCGTAGGGAACACCATCAGTGATGTTGTACTAGAGCTGTATGGGGACAGACGGCAGCTACACTTGTGGGGGGCACAGCATAACATCTAGAGATGTTGAATCTCTGTGTTGTCCACCTGAAACTAACATAACACTGTGTGTCAACTGGACACAAATAAAAAAAATATATATATATATAAATTTTAAAAAAAAGAAAAAATCTGTGTAGGAGTATACACATAAATTCTCAAATGAAATAGGACAGAAGTGGAAGTGGAAACATAAAACAAATAAAAAATTGAAAACTATGACTCACCTCTGGTTAGATGTCTTGGCACTGCTGGTAACGGCGTCCTTTGCTGGTAGTAAGGGAACCGATGGATCTTCCTTGGAGCTCATAGCCGATGAAATGAGAAATGGGATGGTGACATGCCTCTATCTTCTGCACACCATTCCACCTGGGGGCAATGTCACAAAAGACCACCGGTAAAATTCTAGAACCCTCTCTGAAACGGAAAATGACCCAGGCTGTCTCTCATTTCCTGAACTATAATAGGTACATTTTGTTCCCTTATTTCCTGCTCGCCTGTCAAACTTACAAAATAAAGTAGCAAGACTAGCGAGCTTTGCCATACTAACTCCACTTCCTTGTAGCTCGACCTCCTCAGGAAGGCTCAGCACATGTCCATTCCAAGGTGGTGACCCCCACTGTCTCCAGCCTGGGCTCTGCCCGTGTTTGTAGCCTTCAAAGCACCCTGCCTTCCAGAACTGGGATAGGTGGCAGGCTCACAGACTGAGCAAGAGAACCAAATCTTCACTTGAGCCTTTGCAACCTACAGCGATAAACTTGACTGTGTTTTGCTTCTGTTCATTGTTACTATTGTTTGCCTAGATAGAGTGGACGCAATAGATGATTTGTCTACTGGAGGTGGCAGGTGGGGGAGAGGTGAACCCCAGCCTGGGATCTGCATTCTGTTTATTAAAAACCTACCAAGGAAAGAATTGAATGAAAAGGGACGGGAAACCTGAGACAGAGTATAGGCTGACAGTGCTGTGGTGGGAAGGTGAAGGGGCACTGCCCCTGCTAGGGCCCTTAGGCAGCCAGGCCTTGTCCAGACAGATGGAGGCCAGAAGGACCCTGGTGCAGTGCACGTGAGTAGAACATAAAATGCATGTGGGGTAGCATCTGTGGGCACCTGAACGGGACCAAGGAAGAGGTAAGGGATGGAAAGAGGAGACTTGATGTGGTTGGGTTTAGTGGAACATCTTGAACAAAGGTCTTGAGAGCAGAAGAAGAGTCTCATGGAGACAGAGAGGGGAAGAAAACAGAGCTGGAAAAGGAACCAAGGGATACCACAGAGGCCAGGGAACTGGACTCTACAAATCCGTGCTGAGCAGAAGGGGCATTTCACGTGGAAAAAACCCCTCCCTGCGCCCTTCCCGGCATGACATCTTGTTGCCCTTCTAAACTTTTTCCCACCACATTGGTCAAAAACGGTATTTCTTTGGTTTGGTTTGTATTTCTTAATTATATGTGTAGAAACCGAAATCAGTACAGCCTTTTAAGAGGACAGTTTGGCAATATGTAGCAAACTGGAAAATGCTCGTACTTTTTATCCCACTAGAACCGCTGTCAGAAATTTCTCTCATGGGTACACTCCCCAAGTACCCAGAGATTTACGTCCGAAGCTGGTCACTGAAGGGTCATTTGTGAGGACCAAACCCATCCCAGAGGCAGGCTCAACCAGTCCCGATCCATCTGTACAATGGGGTCCTGCTGCTGTAGAAATGAATGCCATAGAGCGATGTGAGCTGACTCCACCCTGCTGTGAGGCCAGTGACAAAGCACAGATGAGGTTATCCCACGTATCGCCAGTTAAAAAACAACAACGATATAAGCACATAGACAGGCATGGGGTAAAACTATTCTGGAAACCGTTCACTGTGGCTACTTCTTGAGTAGGAGTGATAGTTTGGAGATGTGGCCTTCCACATTTTTTAAACTACGTCCATATATTATAGTCACGTGTCAGTATATTATAATCATGTATATTACATGTACACGGGGAAAGCAGGCTGAGGCATAGCTATGGGAAATCCGGTGTGGGGTCGTGAGGCTTGAGCCCGCTTTTGCAAGGCCCCAGGACTTCCCCACAGGCCACACATAAGGCAGCAGTAGAATATTCCAGCAAAAGTGACCGCAAGAGCCTAACCTTCAGTAGGGTAGTGTGCGGTCAGGCAGAGCTTGGATAATAATCTTTTCACCCCGCTGGGAGAGCTGCTGGATGCCCTGGTCCCACAGAGCCCCAGAATTCCCACTTCTCTCCTCATTCGTGCCTTGAGATATTTGGTCACTGTCGTTGTTTTCTGTCCCACAGGAGATACCCTGGCTTCGACAGGACCATGCTGCAGAGGTGGCAGGTATAGTGACCCCTGTAGACTTAAGAGTCTGAGGAAACCCTGTGGGAAGGCAAATCAGAAATAGCTCAGGCCCTAGTAATGGAGAGACAAAGCATGTGGGTGACTCGGGAGGGATCTTATTTTTTAATTTACCAAAATGTCCCAAGTATTTCCCTAAAAAGATCTTAGTGATCAAAAGTAGTACTTGAGACTCAGAGCCAGAACTGGGTAGTGTGTGTGTGTGTGTGTGTGTGTGTACACATGTGTATGCACCTGCTCCATCCATGCAGATAGACACATATGTATAAATGGACACAGTGTAGAGGGGCTCCAGTGTTCACCTCTTCTTCTGAGAAGGCATGCATGACTCTCAGCTTGAATGAATGGACATTCAGCCTCTGATTCTCAGTGAAAGGCAGGGACCCCAAGAGGGCCAGTCCTAGAGATCAAATGACAACAAGAAATTAACTCCTGGTCACTCTTGTCCAAAATCCTTTCCCAGCGAGAGGACCAAGCGAGAGCACAGCATATAGGTCCCATATAAAAGGTGACAACTCTACTGGACTGTTCATTCACCCCTTGGTCCTGCTGATTTTTCCCAAATGCAGTCCTGATTCCACCTTGACTGTACATTCTAAGGCCCTAAGAATAAGTGTTATCCCAATAGGTGGGGACAGAAAAAAAGTCCTTAAATTCCCAGAGGAAGACAGATCATTCAGTCTCTTGGTGAGGGCTTCTCTCTACTGTAAGGTCCCCTCGGCTTATTTTTTTTTATTTTTTATTTTATTTTATTTTTTTTAAAGATTTATTTATTTATTTATTTGAAAGAGAGAGAATGAGAGAGAAAGAGAGCCCATGAGAGGGGGGAGGGTCAGAGGGAGAAGCAGACTCCCTGCTGAGCAGGGAGCCCGATGCGGGACTCGATCCCGGGACTCCAGGATCATGACCTGAGCCGAAGGCAGTTGCTTAACCAACTGAGCCACCCAGGCACCTGGCTTATTTTTTTTTTTAAAGATTTTATTTATTTATTTGACAGAGAGAGAGATAGCGAGAGCAGGAACACAAGTAGGGGGAGTGGGAGAGGGAGAAGCAGGCTTCCCACTGAGCAGGGAGCCCGATGCGGGGCTTGATCCCAGGATCCTGGGACTACGACCTAAGCCAAAGGCAGAAGCTCAACGACTGAGCCACCCAGGTGCCCCATCAGCTTATTTTTTTATCATAAAAAGGTTAGCAGTAAGTTCACCCACAGCATTTATGCTCTTATTTTAATCAACTTTTGAGTATCATACCCAGCAGCTAAACAAAAGAAGCCTTTATCCTTGGCTTTGGACTGCTGAGCTGTATTTTTTTTTTTTCCTGGCCAACTTTGCTTCCTGAATATATTTGCTTTCAGTTCACGTTGGAATTAGTGTGGCCTCCCCGCTTTGTCCTGGCTCAGGCGCAAGGTGCACGGGGAATAGTAGAGGTGTGTGCTGCCTGCTCTCACCCACACAGCAAGGGCTGCAGAGGGCTGAGAAATGGACCCCCATGGTCCTTAGGAAGATGCCAGTCATGTTTGGTTTATCTCCTCTTTGTCTTTTCTGGTAGAAAAGGGACATCAGCAATTTTGAGTATCTCATGCACCTCAACACTGCGGCTGGGAGGACCTACAATGACTATATGCAGTATCCAGTGTTTCCCTGGGTCCTGGCCGACTACACCTCACAGGTATAGTATTCGCATGGATGCTATTCAGACGTCCTGAGGCTTCCTGACCCTGAAGACCAGAGCATACTAAATCAGCATGCAGAGCCTCTGCTATGAGGTTCAGTCCACCTAGGCCTGAGGGCTGCTCCATGCTTAGTCACCCCAGAGGAGGTGTTTGGGAGTCTGGCTGCTTGGGTTCCTGTCCAGATCCACCCGTGGGAAGGTGACCCCACCTGTGGGATGATCAACATGATGAGGACAGTTGCTAACATGAGCCCCAGAGGGCTTCCTGACTTACTACTATCAAGGCAACTGATACCCATCTGCTGAGACACTGCCATGGACAAATGTTGGTCGTTCAAGTGAAGCAGGCCGTGGAATTTATTCCTTGAATCAACGTGTGTGGGGTGGGGGGTAGAGGATAGGAGAGAGACAGAGAGAGACCCAGAGAGAGCAAACTACCCCCCTGTATCTTGACTTCAGCAGTCAAGAGGTTGGTATGTGGACTTCACTCAGGATCTGGACTGAGACATGTTGGGACAGGGGAGGCTGATGGCAAGGCCAGATCATTCCCCCTCTTTTAGCTGTCCCTGGACCTCAGCAGGCAGGGGAGGGAGGAGGAAAGCTGACACAGCTAGGCCAGGATGACATTGCCGGGAATGACCTGGTTATGAAGCACCATCCCAACCACCTGGACTCTGGCCATCAAGAGGGGTGTTGAGCTGTGTGTGTAAAGGACAGAAGGTGGCTAAGTCCTGGTTCAGACCAGCCCTTGCCAGTCCTGCCTAGGGCTGCTTGGAAGACTGATACTCAGGATTTGGGAGAGGGAGCCTCAGTCTTTTGTGACCTCCCATCCCCAATGAAAACATTTAACACAAAACTTTCATCGCCAGCTGCATGTTGCCTTTTATTTCCCTAATGATCCATCTGAGGCTGAGGTATTTCAAAAATGAAACATGCAAATCCCAGCTTTAACTCACGTGTTGCAAAGTGGTGGTTTACCAGCCCCTTTTGTTTAGCCCAAAATTTTGATTACTTACCCATATTTAAAAACCAGGAGATTTCTCCTAAAAATCTGGATTTCCAATATCTTTTGGAAAATCAGGAGATGTAGCAGCTTGGCAGCCCCATTCTGTCCTGGCAAAATCAGCAGTGGCTGAGATGGCTCTCCACGTGTGCCATCGGTCACAGGGCTCTGAGAAGCACCTGCCTCACTCTGCCCCCATCCCCGGTTCTGCAGGTGTTGAGATGGGGACAGGCCCTGCCTCCCCAGGGGGACTGCAGTGGTTCATGGTTGGTGAAAAGGAAAAGAAGTATAAAGAAACACTTTCTATCAGACATTCAAATCCTGGGGGATACACACCTCCTCTGCTAAAATGTAGAACATCTCTGCTAAAAGCAGACATCTCCGAGGACACCTGGCCCTAAAAACTTCAGGTCTCCACTGCCCTGTATTATATTCCCCAGGACAGAGGAAGGGGCGACATTACATGCTGTCATTGCCCAGAAGGGAGTGGGCTCCAGGAAAAGGAGGCCGTTCCTCACATTTCCTCCCCGAACAGAACAGAGGACTTCTGACTTCTAGAGAGTTTGATTCCCGGCAAGGACCATGAACTCCTGAGGCATACAGCTGTCTCCATGAGGGCTGGAGCCAAGCACCTCATTGACAACAGGGATTCTTTTCCAAGTCTCTTTTCAGTAACTGGTGGCGATGTTCTGATTTGGGTCAACTTGGAACAGGTTCACTGTGAACTCAATCTTCCCCTCCTCTTATTTTCCTTCTCTCCCTTATTAAGTCTTTGTGGATCACTGGCTCTGGGGCCATAAAACCCCTGCACGCCTGCTAATCACTGGAGGGGGGTCAGACCAAACGACGATAAACCAATAAAGAGAACCATAAAACTAAAGAGCGTGGCTCCTGAAGTCTCGCTGGGGCACAAGAGGGTCTGAGGGGAGTTAACTCCAGCCACACGTCTGCCTTCTAGACATTGAACTTGACGAATCCCAAGACTTTCCGCGATCTCTCAAAGCCTATGGGGGCTCAGACCAAGGAAAGAAAGCTGAAATTCATCCAGAGGTTTAAAGAAGTTGAGAAGACTGAAGGTGGGTAGATCCCAGCTTGACTTTTTTTTTTTTTCCTGCAGTGTTGCTCATGCAAGTGCCTTGAAATGGTCGTTGGTAACAATTTAGGTTCTCACCTAGTGTGGACGCAATTATATTGGGATAGGGAATACTTCTAGTCTGCTGGTCTGCATCCTGACTGCATGGAAGAATCACCTGGGCAGGTTTTACACATACTGATGTCCAGGCCCCACCTCTAGAAATTCTGATTTAAGTAAGGCTGTGGTGAGGTGCAGGGTGGACTGAGAACTACCATGCTAAGAGCTACTACCGCCAGACCTAGGGGCCGCCAGAATCAGAGAGTACATTCGTTCAGCACTTTGTATAGTCCAGGCACAGGCCAGACTTAAATACAGTGGTCCATTTCAAAAAGAAGGGAATTAATCTCAGAGAGCTCAGCCAATGCATTCAAGATCAGAGCTTCTAAATGGTGGAGCCTGTATTTGTCTTGACTCTAGAACCTACTTCCCAAACTTTGTTCATCTGCACATCACATTTATAATTTTTGCCACATTCACATGCGACTTGAACTCCTATTGCCTTAATTTTTTTTTCTTTAGGTCTATTCACTTCTGAACTTTGATGAACGTATTTTAAAAGGAAATTTTTCTGTCATGCAGTTGATGCTAGCTCTATTGGTTTTCTCAAATACTTTGAAATAAGCATATAATTTAAAAGAAGGAGCAGGCATCCATGAACCATGAAAAATTCCCTTGGGAACCAGAGGCATTGTGCTTTGGAAAGGCTTACATGGCCTAGAGACACTGCTTTTGGCGAGCATGTTCTCAGCAGGACAGGGAGACTCCTGCTGCCTCCCGCACAGCCCGGGACCCCTGCGCTGTGTGGGGCTGGCACTCAGACTCGCTCAGGGGAGATGGGAGGATGTGGATGGTTGGGCAGGCCCTCCTTGCCCTGCTTATTTCCTTCTGAGGCTGAAGCTCAATCATTAGGACCCCTCTCGGGTCCCCTGCCCAGGTGCTGTTCCTCTGGCTGCCAGGCGTGGCTGGGTTCCTTCCACAGAGACAGGCAGGGGAGCATGGGATATCACCGTTCTCTCCCATCTCACCCTGGGCGTGCATTCGAGCTGCCCATTGCATTTGGGACCTTGTACAAGTTCCTCCACCAACCTCCCAAACAACCAACTTAGAGAGCTCCTGCGTGGCACAAGGGAGGGCTTTAGGCTGGGCATGGGGCTGGCAGCAAGATGGCTGAGCAGTCGCTGCAGGGAACTGGTTCAGGCCTTTGCCGACTGCGCTGGTGGGACTGTAGGCACGCTGGGGCTTTCTCCATACCCCTTAACGCAGAAGACCAAAGCACTGTCTCCCCACGAATCCTGGGTACAGCCTTCCCAGAGCCTGCCCCGCCCACATTTTGGGGAGTAGAACACTGAGGACTCGGGGGTGCAGCTGAGGGTCTCGAATGGGCTTTTCATCCCCGTGGCTGCTGGCCAAATCTTAATGGCGTCTGCAAGCAGAACCAAGGCTCCACTGGCCTGCAGGTGCTCTCTTGAGCAGGGCTTGTGCCCGCAGCTCATGCTTGAGCATCGTAGAGCCTGTGTGTCTACAGTCTCTCCCAGCACAGGTGGGAAATCCGCTCCAGACATGTCTTTTTATTGCAGGAGACATGACTGTCCAGTGTCACTACTGTACTCACTATTCCTCGGCCATCATTGTCGCCTCCTACCTGGTCCGGATGCCACCCTATACCCAGGCCTTCTGCTCTCTGCAGGCCACTCCACTTCCATACACACACACACACACACACACACACACACACACACACACAACTATATCTCACAGACTAAGCGCTAGGCTTGGATGAAGCAGGGATCTCCCAGCTAGAAAGCCAATCTTCAGCCAGTGATTCCCACTTGATGCTGGCTCCAGGATTCTGGGCAGTCAGCTGAGGCAGGCTGCTCAGCATCAGTGACCTGCAGTGACCTGCATGTCTGCCCAACAGTGTTGCAGAAAGACTCTAAAAATAAGGAATGAGAGATGTGGGGAAAAAATACTTAACATAAGTCGGTTTTAGTGGAGAAGGAAAAGCAGAAACCTTGAAGACTTCCTTGAAGGTAGGTGGTCAGAAATTAGAAAAATAAACCCAAAGAAGGAAGAGTGAAAGAGTGCCACTTGTGACTTCAGAACGCAGACAGCCATGCTAAGTACAAGTTGAAAGGCTTAAAAGGATGAAGTATTTGAATAATGAATAGCTGAACCAGAGAAAGAAACTAACCAACTTAGCCACCCATAAACCAAGAGACCATTCATTATGCCAGCTTAGGGTTGCCAGATTTCACAAATAAAAACACAGGATGCCCAGGTATATTTGAATTTCAGATAAACAGTGAATTTTTTATCCTAAAAAAATTATTTGTTGTTTATCTGAAATTCAAATATAGCTGGGCCCCCTTCTGTTTTACCTCAGCCCTACACCGCGTGAAGTAAGCAAGTCTGGCTCTGAGTGGGTGGTACTGTCCAAGGCACGTGGGATTGCTGGGATAGAGTCCTTTGCAGGCAGCCAAGAAGTTTATTTTCTCTCTTTTCTTTCTGACCTTATCACTGGGATCCTGCTTCCCAGGTTGTCCCAGGGGCACAGCTTTTGACTGGGGAGAGCCACTGGGTAGCCCAGCTGCAGCCAGCTGGCTCAGTCAACCGCCAAGTGAATGCAGCACACAGCCCAAGTGTAGGGCCTGACCTGCTCCAGGCCTCACAAGTGTCCTACGAAGAGGAAGGCATGAGCCATGGTGGGCAACAGGCCACGAATATGCACAGACTTACTCCGATAGTGAAGTTCATCAAAGAGAAAGTGCGAGCGTTCCAGGAATTGTGGGGTTTTGGTCTGACCTCACCAAAAGGCCACTCTTTGTGGTCAGATGACCTTGGCCCTGAGATACCAAAGGCCACGTCAGCACCAAATCCAACTCCTGAGCCCTAGGTGGGAACGGGTAGGCAAAGTCAAGGTGATTTCTCCGATTAGGAACAAAATCCCTCCTGTCTTCTGTGTCTTGGCACAGTGTTCTCTCTCTTTAAAGGCAGGGATTGTCTAGACATTGTATAACCTCCTCTCCCTGGAAATTCACTCAAAAATAATAAGTGTGCTTCCCCTGAGCCTTTCTCAGGCAACAAGCATTTTAAGTAAGTTTGGTTTGGAGAACAAATGGTCCCAGAGCTATAGCCCGTGCCAGGAATCCCATCCAGATGTTGCTCATTAATCCACAAGAAGCCATGATCACTGTCGATGATGATGGTGATGCGTTCCGCTACGGCGTTCCCTCCAGGCAGTTCTGGATGCTTTAAAAGCTTTCTTTTGTCCCTTCAGTCTAATGCTCTAAAGCCCCATCTCTACCTGTTACTAAGGGTCCTCTCACATGGACAGGAGGCAGAGTGAACTTGAAATGGCATCAGCTATGAGATTTATACACCAGCTCTGCTACTTCACAGATACAGAAATCTTCTGCAAGTGATTTTACCTCTGGAAATGAGGGCTAAATATGCACAGCTCCCTGAGCTGTTGAGATTAAATGACGAAATGTGGGTAAAGCCCCTAGCTCAGGGCCTGACACTGCTAGGTGATCAGTCATTATTACTTCACTTCTTTTCCCTGCAATCAGCCAGATCGAACCTGAGCAAGCCTGAACTTGTCCAAGCTGGTCCACTCTGGGCTAAGCTAATTCAAGACAGTCTGGACTGCAGAGAAGCATTCCAGGATGGCATGAGCCAGATGAAACAGGTGTGCTACAAACCCACAGAGATGTTGGGTTAAGGCCACTCTGAAGTCGGTCACAACTAGTTTGCGCTTTCTTTTTAGCTAGTTTGATACGTGGTTGACCACACCAAACTGGTTTGAGATGGTCTAAACCAGTGCAAGATGGTCAGAACCAATTTTATCTGCTTTTGGGTAGCACACATGTAGTCACATTAGCTCCAGCCCTTTGACTCCCATGTTGAAGTCTGATGTGATTCCCAGTTTTTCCTGGTTCAAATCTATCTGTGGCTGTTGGCCCATCTGTGTTGAAATCATTTGGGCTCTCCATGTGTGATTTTTACTGACTCTTTTAGTGTGTCATAAGAAAACCCCACAGTCTTCTGCTTTTTTCCTTAGAATAAAAGATGAATTTTAGCTCCCAAGGGAATGGGTAAAAGGCTACATCTGGGGAGAAATGCACCTGGCTCTTCTGTGGGAGTCCTGGGGTCTTCAAAGACTTCCTTAGGAATGTTCTGGCATCTTCCTGAAGTCAGGCTCTTTCTTCTGTCCCACCCTATCTCCTAGGGGGCAGGCTCATTTCTTAAGAGACCTTTGCTTCACCCCTGTGTGGTGAGAAGGAAAGGAGCCTCACCATATTCTCAATAGACTAGACTTCCATTCCCCAGCATGGACCATGGGGTAGGGAAGAGTAAGAAAGGTGGAGAAAGTGCAGAATCCAGGCATGAGCCTGGATTCTTATTTTATTTATCTGGAGAGCAGGGAGCTGAGAATGTTGGGTGTTTCCGGAGCCAGGTGTGCATGCAAGAGTTATGACAAAAAGCATGCTTCCCCATTCTGCATGAAGTAAGCTCTGCCTCTTGCCTATGAGTGTGAATGAGCCAGAGGGACCTGCTTGCTCATTCGATGGCTTGGTGGGAGGGATCACCTTTGGTGCAGAGAGCCATGTGTCTATGCGCTGTACCCGGTGTGGCCCGGTGCACTGTCGAGAGGCATACGTGGCATTCCTTGGGCACTGTGGCCTGCCCCCCGAGCGGGATGTGGACAGAAGGAGGGGCTCTCATACACGGCCTAGAATTGCCATGCAGCACATTCTGATCCCTGGGTGGAAGGTGTGCTGTGGTCCCTTCATTTTTGCATCTTACTAACTTTGGGCTGCTCTCGGAATCGTTGCATTCCTCTATGGTTCCCGTGTTTGATCTTCTGCCTCCAAACCTGGTATTACGATGATAGACTCTCACAATCCAGAAGACCCGGCATAGGGGCAGCGCCAGCCGAGCAGGTGACATGCACAAGTCGTGGGATGAGACGCAAGCCGGTCGTGCGCTGTTATCCCCGCCCTGTGGAGGTGTGAGACCACAGCCCGCCAGAGGCTTGGCTCCCCGCATGCCTCACTCTCGGGCATCTCGCCCACCTGGAGCCGGGGCCCGAGAGCACCCAGGAGGCCGGGCCGGGGCCGGGGCCACAGCCCAGGCCCCTGTCCCAGCCCCGGCAAGAGCACAGTGGCAGGGAGGCTGGCGAGGAGACTCGCCTGGGCAGGGCAGAGCCAGGCGTCAGCGCCCCAGTGAGGGCACAGTGGCGGTGCTGCTGCAGCTGCTGTTACATTTAATAAGAACCTGAAATAAAGTGCTGTGTTAATTAAGTCGCAGCCCGTGTGACGGCGGCTGTTACCAGCAGTGGGGAAGGGTTTTCTGAACCACCTGAGGCGAGATGGCTGGTTTTCGTGTAAGACAGATGCTAACTGCAGAGAGAACCGAGAACCGCCTGAGTGGTCCACGTGGGAGCTCCACGGGTGCCAGGCCACAGGTCTGGCTGGAGCTGTGTCCAAAGCAAAGGCACAATTAGCATTATGCTGACACAACAAGGAGCATTCAAAAAGGCTCATGTAATAAAGACAGGCAGACCTGGGACAAAGTCCTGGCTCTAGAACTTTCTAATTGGTAGTGTTGAATAACCAGGCCTCTGTTCTTCTTCTTTTAAAATAACCCCTGCCAGGGCGCCTGGGTGGCTCAGTCGTTAAGAGTCTGCCTTCGTCTCAGGTCATGATCCCTGGGATCAAGCCCCGCGTCGGGCTCCCTGCTCAGCGGGGAGCCTGCTTCTCCCTCTCCCACTCCCCCTGCTTGTGTTCCCTCTCTTGCTGTGTCTCTGTCGAATAAATAAATAAAATCTTTAAAAATAAATAAATAAATAAAATAAAATAACCCCTGCCTCAGTAGGTGGTAAAGACGAGGTGAGCTACAGCACAGGAGCCCTTTGGCTGGTCTCTAAATGCTCCATATATGTCCACCCTCCTCCCTGTAAGAGTAGGCAGCAGGCTTTTCAAAACCTTTGTGGGTTTTGTCTATTGAGTAAATGTCCACATCCTCCAGGAAGGAAAGTTAATGGCTACTCGGGGTCAGCCCACCCTCCATGGAGAGCAAGACTGACAAGGCAGCCCAGCTGGTACACAGGCTTCCCAAATTCTGTTGGACCGACAGCTCAGCTTACCAAGTGGGGTGTTAGAGCCTGGCACTTTTCTGAAGAAGCCTGCCAGGGGCCAAGCCCAGCTCTTTCTCAACTGCACACATTGGCCCCTTTATTTCTTTGGTGGTGGGGGGGTCTCAAAATTGTCCAGATGATGTGCTTGCTCTTTTCCTCCAGCCCCTGGCCCAGGACCCCACCTCCACGTCCCCCCAGACCCCACCTTCGGCTTCCAGTAACTTTAAAATTTTCTTTTTCTTCTTCAGAGCCCCTGGTTACCTTCCCCATGCACACTGAGGTTCAGGCCCCCAACTGAGCTCCTGAGTTCCCAGTCTGCCAAGGGAAAGGGGCTTCAGGGCGGGGCTCTTGGAGCACCTCTTCCTGCACGCCTGGCACTGCAGGAGGTACTTCACGCACACATTCGCACACACGCACACTCACACTCACGTGCTCACACATGTTTGCACACCCACAACAGTCACCCCAGAGGTTGCAGAGGAGAGTGTGGGGTGCCGTCTTTGAAGGACAGAGGACAGCAGCTTAGACCAACTGATGTGCACACAGGGTCCTGTAAGTGGATTGGTTACATGGGATACTTGTAAATTACCGGAAAGAACATCTGCCAAGACAATGGGTTGTCGGCCTCCTCATAAAACCAATCCCATTACCTGGATGTGGCAGTGGGTTGACTCGGGTCAGTCCCACAGGAAAGGAAGAACAGACTTTCTAGCACGTAGTGTACGAATCTCTGTATTTAAGTGTCCTTGAGCACATGTAGTTGCTGTACTCTCTGCGGGTCTTGGTCAACAATTGAGTGGTTTTTTTTTTTTCAACATAGTTTCCCCACCCATACTGGAGAGGGGTTTAAGAATGTCACTCTTGAAATGCTTACCCAGGGATACAGGTGCACATAGGAGTAGTGCCTTTGGCACAGAACATTCCTTTCAAGACCATTTCCAGTTTTAATAGACGTACCACAATCACGGACTTTCTTCTGATTTGAACTCCTGCCAATGTCCAACAGAAGTCCTTATTGGCCATTTCTCTCCCCATTATTTTGCTTTTAATTTTGATTCATATCTTCGCAAAATTTTGCACCTCTAGGAAGTATTTGAACTGAGGGAGGATACTTAGGGTTATATTGTTTCTGAGCCCTTAAATATTCAGAATATCTTTCTGGCTTCTTCATGAAGGAGTGATATCAGTTGGACATAAAATCCAAAGCCTGTGCCTTTTGCCTCAGAAACCTCCAGCCTTGGCTGCCTTGTCTTCTAGCCTTTTAACATCACATGGGAAAAGTTTTCTGCCAACGAGAGGTTGTTCCTTCGTTGATAATAATATCACTATTATTTTTTTCAGCATGTTGGATACACATAGGAGTCATTGTTCTTGATACTCGAGGATATCTGCAGAATAGATTTAGGAGCAAATCTTGGCTCCATAATTCTCTCTGATCATCTGGTTTCCATCCAGTCTCTAGACTTAATTTTGTTGCGGTTTTATTTTATTTTGTTTTGGACTTTCCTCATGGTGGCGCTCTGCAGACCTTCATTGTGCCTCCCTGCCTCGCTCCTTTTCTCCCTTCCTTTTCTCTGTCTTCTCTTCCTTTTCTCCTTCCTTCCTTTCCTGAGAATCGAGTCCTGGTGGAGACTCACTGCTGGAGGCCCCCAGAGTCTGTGTCCACCCACAGGCTTACAATACAAGCAACAAAGCAGCTCCACTTTTTCTTCTAGGGAATTTGGCATTTCTTTTGTATTGCAGAGGTGAGAAAACCCATTAATTTTGAAACAAATGTATGCAAATACATTTATTAATATAGGAAATAGGAAAATCAGTTATTGCTTCCTTTATAAATAATACAGGCTTAAGTTTTAAAGATATTACTTTTGCTAAAATGCATTAGACAGCTGTGGAAAAAATAACATTTTTCTTTGTGGTAATATCTTTAACCAGATTTGTAGCACTAACAATATTTCCTATGTATATATTATTTTTATTTAATACAGGTAATCTTTTTATTACCAAATCATATTGTTTCTCAGGAGATTACCATCAGCACTCATAAAAGCTGCAAAAGGAATCCGGGAGGACGAGAAGGCATCAATCTCCTGCAGATGTAAGGCTCAGGCTGCAGATTAAATATGCAAAGCTCTTAATATGTTTCAATGAGCCACTTGTTAGGTGCAGATTTATTTAAAAACATTCTCCCCCTATTTTGTTTCCACTTCAATTTGAATCTGATGGTGGGCATCATCCCCTAATTTCAACCCAAGAGCAAAACAACCTTGGAGGAAAGCCACATCCTTAAGCTGCCCAGGTAGGGTGTTCTGTTGCAACTCCAGGGGCAACTGGCTTTCTCGGTGTCCCTATCCATGTGCAGAGAATGACCCATGGGCCTCCCTGGATCCTCAAGTCTGACTCAGAAAACTGACCGGCCCACCAAATGTCCAAATGTAGCCTGCCTCAGGAGTGTGGCAGATTCTCCCTTCGCAGAAAGAGCTGAGACCCCCTTGCCCCACACGTAGGAGATCACATTTGCCCCAGGCCCAGGGATTCCCCCAATAAACTGGCACAAGGGCAAAGAATGCATACTTTGGAGGGGCATCCATGGGATTGACCTAGTTCTGCCATTGATTGCTTTGATAGCTTTGGGAAAACCAGTACACTTCGAGGAGCTTCAGTTTTCTGGTCTGCAAAATGGAAGTACAATTCTTTCCTGACACCCCTGCTGTGAGGATTAAGAGCCAACATCTCTGTTTAGAGTGCCTACCATGGGGCAGCCTTGCCAAGAGGAGGCTGTGGCCCTTCTTTACCCTTCATCCACTCCTGCAGCTGCCCCAAAGCTTCCTTAGGTAGATGCTGATGGGAAACCTCAGTCCCCGAGAAGAGGAGGGCACTACCCATTTGTTCTCAGGCCACAGGAACTCTGCAGAAGTTGGCAAAAGGAGGACAAGTTCTGATTGAACGAAGATCCAGCCTTGATGGGGACAAGTGAAGTATCCAATCCCAGGCAGGTGTTTTTGGGGTGTCCCTAAACTTACGCAGACCCAAAGCCCACTTTAGAACCTCTTTCCTGAAGTCCCTCTGCCCCCAGCATCCTCATTCCTCCAACCAGACCTTTCTTCCTCCTCCCAGCCCCCAAGGACACCTGATAAATAGGGTAACATCAACTAAAGAGATTTGATGATCTGGATGAGAGGAGCAGAGAATCCAAGGAAAGAATTTGTTTTAAGTCTTACCTGGTCCAATCCTAGCTGCCAAGCTTGAGATGCATCAGGCCACCTGTGGAAATGGGCCTTGGAACCAGGGCTGGTCATGGAGAGTGGACAGACATCTTGTCTTCATGGGCCAGCTTCCTGTCTCTGGGAGGCTGGTGTACCTCTGGCTGTTCATCCTCAGACCTGTTCTCTTGTTAGATGTCGCAGGGCCCTGACCTAGCCTGCTTGCTTCTGCTTCTGCTTCTGTTCCTGGCCTTGGCCTTGCCTCTGCTCAGAACACTCTGCCGTCTTCTCTGTCACTAGGCTTGCAAACTCACCAGGGGGCCGCTTCTCCAAGGAACTTGCCCCGATCCCACATGGAATGGCTGACCTGATCTCTGTCCGGTAGCGGGTTCTTTGTATCCGGTCTGTGCCTGATTCGGAGCGGGCCCTTAGCAGATGTGGGGAATGGTCAGATGAATGACTCTGCTTTTCCTGTCTCTCATCTGAGCCTGGATTTCTAAAATGGAGAATAAACAGTGCATCATGTATCCTCTGGGGAAGCCTCAGCGCAAGGGTCCACAGAATGGTCGAGTGTCCAGAGGCACGAAGAAACCATGGCACGCATGCACAGAGCAGTGAACGAACGTATGTGGGAGTAAATGGATGGTGAAAACCCACGTCTCAGGGGCCATGGACAAGGAGAGGCCCACCCAGGTGGTGCCTGCGCATCTTTCTCACCACAAGCAGGTGATCACATCGGCTCCTTTTCCTCACAGGGCGGAAGCTTTGATGTGGCAGACAGAATGTTCCACAGTGTGAAGAATGCATGGGAGTCGGCCTCCAGAGAGAACATGAGTGACGTCAGGGAGCTGACTCCAGAGTTCTTCTACCTGCCTGAGTTTCTCACCAACTGTAATGCCGTGGAGTTCGGTGAGTGGAGGCCGGGGTGCAGCCGGGGTGGGCTGGGCAAGGCAGGGATCCCTCCCCCGAAGCTCAGGTAGTGACTAACATTATCAGTACCTTTGCTGGGCAACTAAGTGAACGGGTCCTTCACCAAACCAGAGTGGTTGCTGTGAGGTCTCCCCTTGATGGCAGCACTCAATGTTGAGGTCGGAGCCAAGGAAGGACCCGAGGCCCCGGGCCGCCAGGATGGCTCTGAGCCACAGTCCTGCCCATCCCGTGAGGGTCCCCAGGCCCCAATCTGCAGTGAGAAGCCCTGCTCTTAACCAGGTCTGGCACTGCCCTGCTGCGGGACCAGGGGCCCACCCCGACCCCTCTGGGGCCTCGTCTTCCTCCATGGCCCACAAATGGTCAGCCTGGACTCTCTGGGCCTCCTGGGAGAGACTGCTTGCTGCATGGCATCTGAGGGTGGTTGTGTGGGGGTGCTGGTAGCTCTTCCTCTTTCCTGTGCTTCAGGATGAACTATGGCTTCTCACTGGTTTACAAGAGGAACAACAATTTCAGGAAGCCCCCGTAAGCAGGTCCCCTGGTGTCTGGGTGTGGACCTTGGGAGCCTCTGCTGCGTCAGGGTGACTTGTGGAAGGGGCTATGTGGTCAGAGCCCGAGGCAGGGTGTGGGCCGCTTTCCTCCCATAGGAAGGGGGAGGGGATCACTCACCCTGTGGAGGGCACTCATGAACTGTCACCAGCACACACCTATGCTCCAGAGCTCCCCTTCCTCGGGGCCCTCCTTCTTCCTCCAAACAGCACACAGGGGCATGCAGGAACTTTTTTAGGCATTGGGGATTTAGTTGGGCCTCCTGCAACCAACTATGCTGAAGGTGTTTGCATTCTGTACAGGGAGGGAGGAAGGGGAGAGAAAATATAAACATATTTATATAAGCGAAATACTGTCTCATGCTGAGAATTGTTATGAAGAAAGAAGGTAGGAAAATGGTTCAAGAGTGATTCACAGGGCCCTGTGTTATTCTGGTCTCCAGGAAGGACCACCTGAGTTGGTGACAGGTGAGCTGAGACTGGCTAGTAAGAAGAACCGTATCAGGCGCAGACCTGTAGGCCAGAGAGAGGAGGGGAAGGTTTTAATTCTAGTTGCACCATGAAGGCTCTGGAGGGTTTAAGCAAGACCGAAACTGATGTTTATTGGGCAACCACCATATGCCTGGAGTTTTTCTAAGCACATTATGCGTATTTCTCTTTTAATCCTTCTCCAGCCCCTGAGGGGGTGGGTGTGGGTAACAGGTGGGAAAAGTGAATCCCAAAGAGATTAAGCAATATGCCCAAGGTTGTGCGGCTAATGGGTAGGAGAGAGACTTGCGCTTGGACCCAGACTCTTTCTAATGTCTGGGGAAGCTGCCTCTAAAACCCTTGCTGCCCTCACTTTAAAAATGGAGAGAAAATGCATAAATTATAGAGTTAAATGAGGATCCAATAAGAAGATGTGTGCCAAGCACCTAGCATAGTGCCCTAGCATAGAGTTAGGTGCTCAAAATACGATAGCTTTTACTGTTAGTGTGATTATCTCCTTAACTGCTCTAGCGCTGGATAGAAAGCACCCAGATGAAAAGGCACAGAATAGTAGGGAGCAAGACAACAATGACCACATCACTGCCATTTTATAGGACTTGTGAATCAAGCACAAACCTGCTTGGGAAACAAGGAGGGCCTCGTGGAGAGTCAAAGGCTTAGAGACCAAGTAGGAATATTCCAGGCAGATGCGTGGAGGCACACACTGACAGAAGAAGCAGGAAGTAGTGAAGTCTGTGCAGGACATAGCTCTTAGCCTGATCTGCCTGGAATCAGAAGTCCTAGATAGCACAGTGTGTATCCCCCCTTGTTCCTAGGCCAGTTTGGGCTCCCATTTACCCAAAGCTCTGCTGTTTCTTACCCCACTCAGGCTGCATGCAGGATGGGACTGCACTGGGAGACGTGCAACTCCCTCTCTGGGCTGATGGGGACCCTCGGAAATTCATCAGCCTGCACAGACAGGTGAGTTGACCAGGGTCACGTCTGAGGCCCTGGCATCCTGAATGAAGACCTCAGTATTTTCTCCACGGAGGCTTTCTGTGTAAGCAGAGGGCTAGTGACAAGCATTTCTGAGGCTCTTATGTCTAGAGAACCCAGAGAAGGTGCTAGGCTCCATGCTCCAGGTTAACAGGATAAAGTTTGTGTTCTGGGCTCTTTCAAGAGTTCCATTAGACTTTGCCCTTGGGCCAGTTTGTTGTGGGAATCACTGGGGGAAGCAAATTCACTCTTTTTGGATGCCCTGGAGGTCAAGTCAGTGACTTTCGCTGGCCTGTAGGCAGGGCCATGCCTGGACCATACTGCTCAGGTATAGCTCAGAGAGGGGCTGGAGGCTCTGAAGGGCTCCTACTGGCCAAAAGATTTGCCAGGACTGGGGAATACTTGGCTTCTTAACCAGAGAGGTTGATGTGGTAGAGGCCATCTTGGGACACATATCCTAGATCAAATACGTGCATTAGCATAAACCACAAAAATACGTGCAACATCATTAGTCATCAGGGAAACACAAATTAAAACCACAGGAGATGACATTACGTACTTACAAGAGTGGCTAAAATTTTAAATATTGACAAAACCAAGAGTAAGCAAGAATAGGGAGAATTAGAATTCATTACACATTTTTGGTAGGAAAATAAAACAGAAAAGCCACTTTGGAAAAAAATTAGTAGTTTCTTATAAAGTTGAAGATGCATTTGCCTTATCACCCAGCAATTCTACTTGTATATATTGACCCAAGAGAAATAAAGACATGTCCATGGAAAAGCATGCACAAAAATATGCATCAGTTTTATTCATACTTACCAAAACTGAAAACAACCCAAATGTCCAGCAACTGGTAATGGATAAACGAATGATATGTCCACCCAATGGAATACTACTTAGCAATAAAAAGAAACAGATTACTGATACATGGAGCAACACAAATTAATCTCAAAAGCATTATCCTAAGCAAAAGAAGCCAAAACTCAAAGCTACATCTATGGGATTCTATTTATGTGACATTCTGGAAGAGGTAAACTTATGGGGACAGAAGGCAGATCAGTAGTTACTAAGGTCTGGAGTAGGGGTGATGGGAAAGGAGTACAAGAGAACATTTTGAGTTGTTGTAAATGTCCTATATCTCGGTTATGGTGGTGGTTACATGATCGCATGCCTTTGTCAGAACACACTGAACTATACATTTAAAAAGGGTGAAATTTATTATATGTAAATTATACCTAAAAAGAAAAAAATCTGGGGTGGGCCTGACTAGTAAAAACAAAGCTGTATTCTTTCTTCTGTCCTTTTCCCTTGGCAAGGAGAAAATTCTTCCCCGGTTTATCCTTGCATCTGGAAATGTAGTAATGGTAGGCATCTCTCCCACAACCCACTGGTCTTGAGTAGTTGGACCAGAGGTGAACTTAACCTTCAGGTGGCAGCAGCTCTCTGCCAAGGTGTTCTCAGAAAAGTTCTTGGCCTGGGCTGAGTGAGCAGATTCACTCTACAGGTCTGACTGCAGATGCCAGTAGTCTAGTGGGGAGGCAGCTTGATGAAATAACCACGCAAATAACAAGGAAATTATAACTGCACAAAGTGCTACAAAGGAGAGAAATTCAATGCCATCAGATATAGGTTAGGGGTGTGACCCAGGGGAACTGGGTGGTGACAACAGTGGGGAGACCTCTTTTGGTGGAGTAAAGATTAGGTTGGAGTGGGTTCGGATGTTAATGATCAATGTCAGTGAAAATATCAGAGTAGGAATCTCTGAAAATCTTCTACTCCATAAAAGCAATAAGAATAATGGCAAAGATTGTCATAAAAAAAAAACTCTTCAGAACTCGGGAAATTAACCAGAGGCTTAGAAAAATCAGGGGAGTATTCCTTTGAGAAAAATGGCTGAATCTTTGTAAAGACAGCAAACTTTGTGGTGTTTTAACTTACACTATTTTCATTTCTCCTATTCAGCTCCATAGTAGCTTTGAAAACCAACAGCCCACAATAACAGTGGAAACCAACAACCTAGCAGTCATTGGAGGGAGAAGAATGGGGTTGGAGCTCCTTCAAAGCCCCATATCCAGAGAACTGTCATTATTTGACCTGTTAGTCATTCCCTGAAAGTCCCCACCAGCAAGGCTGTCTTTATTTGATCTCAAAGCCTGCAGAGTACAAAAGCCTTCCCTTTGGTGACATTTGTGAAAAAATAAACCAGAGACAATTGTTCAACACTGTGGCTGCCAGAGGCAGTGGATATAATTGGGCAAACAATAGACTAATCAAAAAGCTTAAATGGAAAAAGTAGGGAATGAGCTACTTATTAGGAGGCCTTAAACCATCTTCAAAATATCCAACAAATGTTGGAGAGGTTGTGGAGAAAGGGGAACCCTCTCACACTGTTGGTGGGAATGCAGGTTGGTACAACCACTTTGGAAAACAGTGTGGAGGTTCCTCAAAAAATTAAAAATAGAGCTACCCTAAGACCCAGCAATTGCACTACCGGGTATTTACCGCAAAGACACAGATGTAGTGAAAAGAAGGGCCATATGCACCCCAATGTTCATAGCAGCAATGTCCACAATAGCCAAGCTGTGTAAAGAGCCAAGATGCCCTTCAGCAGATGAATGGATAAAGATGTGGTCCATATATACAATGGAATATTACTCAGCCATCAGAAAGGATGAATACCCAACTTTTACATCAACATGGATGGGACTGGAGGAGATTACGCTAAGTGAAATAAGTCAAGCAGAGAAAGTAATTATCATATGGTTTCACTCATATGTGGAACATAAGGAATAGCATGGAGGACATTAGGAGAAGGAAGGGAAAAATGAAGGGGGGGAAAATCAGAGGCAGAGACGAACCATGAGAGACTGTGGACTCTGAGAAACAAACTGAGGGTTTTGGAGGGGAGGGGGTCAGGGGATGGGTTAGCTCGGTGAAGGATATTAAGGAGGGCACGTATTGCATGGAGCGCTGGGTGTTATATGCAAACAATGAATCATGGAACACTACATCAAAAACTAATGATGTACTGTATGGTGACTATACATAACATAATAAAAAAAAATATCCCTGAAATCTAAAAGGACACACACATCTGTAGGGCTGCTTTCATGCACAAGGCTGTGTTCATGCTCCTAAGGTCCTAAGTTTCACTTCTGGCTGAAATTGAGGCTCTGTGCAAGCAGGATCTGAGGTAAACTCAGAGTTTTTACCAGGCAGCTTCTGCCTGGCTGAACACTAAAGCTGTGCCCTAACATGCACACAAAGCCCCTCCCTAGGCAAAGACTGGAATTCTAGCTGGTTTTAGGCATTTTAAAGAAATCTTCATCCAATCATAAGATGACCATTAAGCTAACAGAGAAGAGGTTTTAGTGGCCACTTACAACAAAAAATACAGACTTTATAGAACTAGTTCAGAAAAGTCACTAAACAAACAACAATAACAAACAGTAACAACAACAAACCCTGGGGAGAGGGGAAAATCTGATTTCCAGAGTTGACACATCATATTATCTAAAATGTCCAGTTTTCCACAAAAATTATGAGACATGTAAAGAAAAAAAAAGTATGGCTCATACAGAGGGAAGAAAGCAGTCAGTAGAAATCTCTCTGAGGAAGCCTAAACTTTGGACTTACTAGACAAAGACTTTAAATCAGCTATTGTAAATATATTCAAAGCATTAAATAAAACAATGTTTAAAGACCTAAAGGAGAATATAACAATGAGAAAATATAAAGAGATAGAAATTGTGCAAAGGAAACAAAGAGAAATTGTGGAGCTGAGAAGTACAGTAACTGAGATGAAAAATTCACTAGAAGGGATCAATAGCAGGCAGAAGAAAGAATCAATGAACTTGGAAGATAGGTCAATTGAGATTAGCCAGTGTGAGAAACAGGAAGAAATGAGTGAAGAAAAATGAACAGAACCTAGGCATCTGTAGAACACCATCAAACATACCAACATACACAAATTGGAAGTACCAGAAAGAAAGGAGAGAATGGGGCAGAAAGAATATTTGAAGAAATAATGTTCAAAAACATCCCAATTTTGATGCCAAGCATTAATTTATACATCCAAGATACTCAATAAATTCCAAGTAGGAGAAACTCAAAGAGATCTATACTTAGACACATCATAATTTGTCAAAAAGGAAAGTCAAAGGAAGAATCTTGAAAGCAACAAAAGCAACTCATCACTTACAAGCTATCTTCAATAAGATTAATAGTTAATATTTCATTAGAAACCATAGAGGTGGGGTACCTGGGTGGCTCAGTTGGTTGGGCATCTGCCTTTGGCTCAGGTCATGATCTCAGGGTCCTGGGATCGAGCCTTGTGCCAGGCTCCCTCCTCAGTGGGGAGTCTGCTTATCCCTCTCCCTCTGTCCCTCCACCCCCACCCTGTGCTCTCTTGCTCATGTTCTCTCTCTCTCTCTCAAATAAATAATCTTCTTTAAAAACAAGAAACCATAGAGGTAAGAAGACAGTGGTATGAAATATTCAAAGTGCTAAAAGACTATAAGCCAAGAATTTTATAGCCAGCAAAACTATTCTTCAATAAGGAAGAAATTAAGATATTCCCAGACATATAAAACTAAAACAATTTATCATTAGCAGACCTGCCCTGTAAAAAACACTAAAGGGAGTTCTCCATGCTAAAATAAAGGACAGTAACTCAAGTCCACATGAAGAAATAAAGGAGGTGAGTGATAATAAGGAAACAGAAATGGTAAGGATGGGAAGAGACGATACACATCAAACTACAAGCCAGTGCCTGGCACCTAGTAGATGCTCAGTGTAATCATTGTAGCTAGCATTACATGGAGCTCACTGTGCACCAGGCATGGACACAAACCAAACCTCACATAATTCCACAAAGAAGGTACAATTACTGTCCCCATTTCATAGATGAAGAAGATGAAGGCACTGAGGAACAGAGATGTTAAGAAATGTCCATGGCAGGGCTGGGGTCCAGCCTGCTCCAGAGCGTGTTCTCCTAACTGCTACACTTAGTCTCAACCTCCTGACATCTCTGGTCAGAATCAGCTCTCCTTTTTTCTTATATCAATCTCAACAGGACCCCAAGACTTGATTTTCAGCCCTCCGTTTAGATATCACTGCAAGACATAGATATTCTGAACCTCACGGTTATAACGAGAAGTGAATGAACTAGGGTTATGGGGGCAGTCAGATCTCTTCCCACTAGCTGGAGGTGGGAATTGGATGGTCATTGGATGGCCCACATGTCTGCCCAGTTAGTGCTCATCAAGCTCAGTGAGATGTCACATCTTTCCTGTGCAGAGCCAGCATCCTGAGGCATGTGCCCCCTCGTGATCTGTGCAGAAGGCTCACAAGTCCAAGAGAGGCCTTCATTTTTCATGCTCTTTGGGTTTTGGTTCCAGGCTCTGGAAAGTGACTTTGTCAGTGCCAACCTCCACCACTGGATAGACCTCATTTTTGGGTACAAGCAGCAGGGATCAGCTGCGGTGGAAGCTGTTAATACCTTCCACCCCTACTTCTACGGTGACAAAATGGACCTCAGCAGCATCAGTGACCCCTTGATCAGGAGCACCATCCTGGGGTTTGTCAGCAACTTTGGACAGGTGCCCAAACAGGTACAGCATCAATGTTCTTGGTCTTGCTTTCTCAAAAGAGTGTGTGCACTATGAGCTTGGGAGTGAGAGTGAGGACATTTTCTCCTGGATAGGAACAAGAGAGGACTGGGGAGGGGAAATGGTCTTCCTACATCCCTCAACATCAGGGCTTACCCCTCTGTTACCATCTGATGTTGATGAAGATGATGACATCATTAATGATAATGATGAGGACTACATTCCCCTCTGATATATGTGACAGACACTACAGTAAATCCATAGGATTTAATTGTCTATATGTGTGTCTATATTTCAGAGTTGCTGTGAAGAGCCAACAAATGGAGACATTAAGTGCTCGAAAGTGCCTGAAATATGATGGGCACTCTGCAAATGTTAGTTACTAGTATGACTCCCTCATTGAATCCCCTCATAAGCTCTGGGTATAGGGATTATTCTTTTACAGAACAGGAAGCTGAGGCCCAGAGAGGCTGAATACGTAACTTGCCCACAATTGCACTTTCACAGATGCCAGAGGTAGAGCTCTAGCCCCATCTGGCTGGCCCCAAAGCCTATGCCATTCACCAGCAGTGGGAGAGTATCTAAGTTCTGCCCACTGGGCTCCTGGGGAAGTTGCTGGGGTCTCACATGGGCCTTTTGCTTCACTGGCTCCATCCTGCATCAGGATAGTCATGTAGCGATATGAGGCTATATGTTTATGGTGACATCCTGGTGAATGGTGGGCAAGGGGAGCGCTTATTTAACTGATCCCAGCCTTGTTGACCCTCAAACTTCAGCGTGGAGAGGCTTTATTCCTTTTTTTTTTTTTTTGAGGCTTTATTCCTAAGGACAACCATCTGGGCTACTAGCATAGCCCCATGGGCTGGGGTCTCAGACTGGGAAGTCAGGAGCCATGCTGGGAAAAGAGTGCATAAGCCCAGCCAATTCTGGAGCCATCTTGGGCAGCAGCCTTACCCACACGTAACCATGAGGCTTGGATGGGCTCATCTCACAGTGCAAATCTAGTAACATCTTTTCTACCTGGTCTTACGTGACATGCTCCAGGTTTGCTCAGCTCCCAGGGGAGGGCAATGTGAGAAGTGCCTAAGGGTGAGTTGGAGAATGGACAATGTATCCAAAATGTGGGTTTGGCCAGGAAATGCTTCTTAGGAAAGAGAGAATTTCAGGAAAGAAGCTCGGGTAGCGAGTGGTTTCATTTCTTTAAGAAATGAAATAATCCAGATAAAGCAATTAAATCAAAATATTAGCTACCCCCATCCAATTGTGTCCTGGGTGATATACTCACCGCCCTTGTCCACAAGCAAAAAATATTTTCACATCACTATGTTCACAGAGTGCACACAATTTTAGATTCTGATTTTACTTAGTGATGTAGCATATTAGCTTTTACAAAAATATTTCTAAGTAATCATCAGAATTAGAATTCTTCCAGTGGTCCCAACTAGAGGCAGGATTAAAATACTTCAGGACCATGCACTTGCCATCAAGGGGCTGTGCGTGCTGAGGCTGTGACAGGCCTCTAGCCTGTGGTGCTTTAGTCATTCTGCTGTGCAAAGGAGGGACATTCTTTGTTTAATGCTCATTTAAAAAAATCACTGTTCTGATTTCTGTTTGTATTGATCACCCACCCAGCTTTACTAGGTAGACCAGTAATCAAGGGCTGTCACTGAGCCTAGATCGCTTTGAGAACCCCACCCACCCAACCCCTGGCTGCCTGCTGAGCCTCGCCTCTGTCCCTGGGGCCAGCTGGGGCCAGCTCTCACCCCTCCATTGTGGCACCCGGTGGATGTTTCCATCGAGGAGCATGGGCCCGATGGCTGGAAAAAACAGCCTCGTTGGGGAGGGGAGGGTGGAGAGCTGGCCTCAGCTGCCCTCTGTGGCAGCAGCAAAATTCTGCCAGCAGCATGGCCTTGCACTTCATATTTTGCCTGGTTATGCAAAAAGCTTGGCGTTAGGGACGATTTGACAGCAGAGATCTAAGAAAAATGAAAATAAAAAAGGCCACTAATGGGGTTTGCCTGTGCTCTTTGGAATGTTTGAAGGGATGCTATTAAAGAATTCTGTGTTGATGCCCAGATGGATGTGCCTGCAGAGAGTTTGCAAGGGAAAGGAAAAAAAATATATGAGAAAGAGCTCAAGCAAATGAAGAGAAACATGTGATCTAGAGAGGAAAGAGGGTCATTCTGACTCCATGATATGAGAGGCAGCTCTGCCAGGGACCAGGGCTCCTCGATGAGGTCATCCTGTCCCAGGCAGTGTGGAAAAGATGACAGTTTGGCAGCCAGGAGGGCTATTTCTGCTAGTCCTGCACCATGAGCTGGAGAAAGTAGCTGCCCCTCTCTGAGCCCCAAGCCCTTCATCTGCAACATCTGAGGGTTGAACCAGACAGTTCTCTTTATGCTCATCTCAGTCAGGAGCAAGCCCAGCCCAGGCAGCACTCAGAGCAGAGGTGCCGCTGTGACTTGCGTGGGGATGCCGCCGCCTTGGGCCATCCATCCCTAATGACTTGTGTGGTATTTGTCTGTCCTCTGTCTCTCCAGCTCTTTACGAAACCCCACCCAGCCAGGACCTCCGTCGGCAAGCCTTCACCTGGAAAGGATGCTGTCCTGCCTGGGAGCCTGCCCAGCCACCCACAGCCCTTCTTCTACAACCTGCATGCACTGAGGCCCTCCCAGGTCACAGTCAAAGGTGACTGCCTGGTCTGCTTTGCTTGGCGCCCTGTCCCAGAGTTGTCCCTTCAGCGACTATTGCTCCTTTGGAGGTTCAGGGGTACAGACCCTTCAGGGTCTTGGGGTCTGGCTTTAGATGGCTGTGTCTCTAGTTACAGAAGGAATCTGGGGAGGCCTCTGCTCTGGAAATGTCCAGAACCACCTCTGTTAGATCCTGACAGACTGACCTGTCTGTCTAAGACACACATTCCTCTCTTTCTTTCATATATGTGAGCGCGCACGCACACACACACACACACACACACACACACCTCTCTCTTTCTCTCTCTTTCCTATACACACACACCCCTCCCCACTTCAAAGCCAAGTGAGGAAGTCCCAGATTTCCTGAGGGAAGTACAGCTTCCCCTCAGTGGTACCCACAGTCACTGTTGCTCCCGAGCACCCAGGTGGGCCTTCGGGCCTTAAGCCAAGAGCATCTATCCTGGGCAGACAGCCCAGTGGGAGTTCCAGCCCGGCTGCTTCCTGGAGACACGGTGTGTGTAAAGTCTGATGTCTGCCACCTGCGGGCTGCACAGCTTTGGGGAAGTCTCACTGCATGGGGCCACAGTCTGGAGTTGTATAAGGACTGTAAGGTTGGGTTTGTTGGGGTTTTGTGATGTGTCCTTTTTTTCCCTTCAAATCCAAGAACGGTGTCTTTGGCACACCCCACCCTGCTCGATAAGGTGCCTGGGAGGGACAGGAAGGGCAGAGCCCCCACAAGGCTCCTGTGGCTTTGTGTCATCTGCCCGGACAGCCTCAGCCCTCAGAGACACTGAAGACCTGCATGACCACATGCGAGCTTCATGTATGTGCGAAGGCAGGGGAGGGTCCAGCTCGGGACCAGGGTCTGACACGGCCCCTGGAGTAAGGCCCTCGGGTGTGGTGCCTTGGCAAGCAAGCGGCTCCTGCCGGGGGTGGTGCTTTGCCAAGTCTGGGTCACCTGCCATGGCTCCTGTCTGGGCCCAGTGATAGGGGGTGCTGTCCTTTGGCGTGTAAGCTCCACCATACTAACTGCGGGGTAGATATGTACCTTTTCTCTCTAGGCTCCGAATCGCCCAAAGGAGCCATTGGCCACATCGTCCCTACTGAGAAGAGCATCCTGGCCGTGGAGAAGAACAAGGTGCTGCTGCCTCCTCTCTGGAACAGGACCTTCAGCTGGGGCTTTGATGACTTCAGCTGCTGCCTGGGGAACTATGGCTCCGACAAGGTGGGTGGGTGTGGGGCGCAGGGGTGGGCTCAGGGTGCAGGGCAGGCACGGGGCCCTCGGCCTCTGTCTGTTGGGGCAGAGGCAGTCGGGATGGGCTGGCCCAAAGCAGGCACAGCTGCCCACACCCCACTGCCTCCACGTGGCCGTGCCCCCTGCCTGGGAGGGAGAGGTTTGTACGGCTGCACTCAGGGCCCTCATGGGCCAAGCCTCCAACCTGTGTTCCAAGGAGTGGAGCTTGCAAGTTCTCAGTGCACGCCATCACCTCAGAGCATTCTCTGCCACTCGGCTACATGGAGACCACTCAGACTCTCACTCAGCCTGGGTGTGAAGTCAGGGTTCCTCTGGCCCCGGTCATGGTTTGGAGTCAGAGGACAGTCACTGAGCATTCAGCCGGTGCCAGAAGCCAACCATCTGGTTAGTCTTCCTCCATCCTTGACTCAGGCCATCCAGTGACCTCACTTCTTGCTGGGGCCCTGGCAGCCTCCCAGGTTCCTTGCCTCGCCCGCCTCCCCTCCCACCCTAATTCCCACCCACTGATCACATGGCATGAACTCCCTGCCCACCAAGCTCTGTCTCTCCATCCCCAGCCTTCCCTACCACTTCATGAGGCAGCCTGAAACTAGTCCCAGATATCAGCCCCTCCTGAAACCTGTCTCTGACCTCCTCAGGCTGTCGTTGGCCTCCCTGAGGCTCACTGTGCTTCCCATGAAAATCCCAAATCATGGGATTTTCACAATGTCCCCATGACTTCCTGCTTGCTTGTCTCTCCCCAATCCCTAGAGTATGAGCTCCCTGGGGACAGGCTTGGACTGTCTGGATTTTGTCACCAGAGCCAGCCTCCCAAACAAGTGACATGCCCCCCATTCCCGTGGCCCACAGGCAAGCCAGCACTATCCAGACCTGCCTTTGTGCCTGTGTCACCCTGTCCTGGCTCCCAGCCCTGTGCTGGCCGGGGCACCAGGGCTCATCCCGCTTGTCTCCTCTAGATCCTAATGACTTTCGAGAACCTGGCTGCCTGGGGCCGCTGTCTGTGTACTGTGTGCCCCGCCCCCACAACGATCATCACCTCTGGGACCAGCGCGGTGGTGTGTGTGTGGGAGCTCAGCATAGCCAAAGGCTGCCCAAGAAGCCTGCACCTCAAGCAGGTATGGTGCCTCGGTGGGGATGGTGCCTGGGGCGGGTGCGGCACCCTAGCGTGGCCCAACTCCCTGAGCACCGAAAGCCCTGCCTCCCTCAGGAGCAGAGAACACAGTGAGGCACTGGGGGCAGCACACGGCCCTGTGCCATGAGAGGGCCACGGTTTCATGGCCACGGTGGATTTGACAAGCCCGCGCGGCAGGTGCCTCCATGGAGACCCACGCCTCCGTGAGAGACGCTGCTTGCGCCGCAGAGCCAATGAAACCAGTTTCCTTGTGCTAGAGCATGTTTGTGACCATGTGCCAGGGACATTTTATGCCGAACATTTTGCCTTCTCAACAGCCCTATCAAATAGGTACTATTATCATCCTAACTTTACTGCTGGAAAAAAAGTAGGTGCAAGGAAGTTAAGTGACGGGTGCTAGAGGCAGAAACGGAAAGGCTGTTTCAGAACAGAAGTGGTTATGCAGGACTAGAGCAAAAGCAGGGGGCAATGGTCTCATTCTGGTCCTGGCTCAGGACCCACCGCTGCTCTGAGAACAAGTACAGTGTCCTTACCGTTTACTATGACTCGTGCATTCGTTTACTCTTGTAAAGCAGGCACTATCATTCCCACTTCCACAGGAGAGACCGAAGCTCAGAAAGAGCGAGTTTGCGTTTTAATCTAGGTCGATCTAACTCTAAGCCCATGCTTCCTGCCTTTGCACCCTTGAACTTGCCTGAGAGTACCACTAGGTCTCCTCAACTTGAAGTGCAACTTGTGTTTACATCTGCTTTATAGTTAGCCATAGAGACCCAAGATAACGAAAACCCAAATGAATCATACAAAACTCACCATGGGCCAGATTTCCTAAACTGAACATGTTTCACCGGAACTGATCCTGGGTTTCTCTAGATGCTTTTCAAGCCACCCCCCAGCGCATGGGCAGTGCACGGTGGACTCTCATGAACATGAGGTGAAGGAAGTCAGTGCTGAGGGGGCTGATGAATCCTGCGGAGCAGTGGCACCTGCTAGGCCGGGGCAGCAGTGTGGGCCAAGCGCAGGCTGCCTTCACCAGACTCTCCAAGGCGGTCCTCCAAAGCCAGCCTCGGAGCACCCTGCCTTTTCACATTTTCACATCGTTCTGGGTTTCCCTGCTCCTTTCTATGAACTGCAGTCAGGAGGCTGGGTCCTAATTCCAGACTTAAGTGAAGAGACAGTGCATTACTCTGTGGAGCCTTCCCCTCTCCCAGGCACCACTCTGGGGATAGCCAGAGATCCAGCCTGACTGCAGAGCTGGCCTTGGGGAGTTGGGGAAGCAGCCTCCCCCGGCTACTCTGAGGTCCCTTTTAGAAATAAAGATGAACTGTAAAAGCCCCGGTATTGACAACATAAAAATGCCATTCATCATCCTCTCCTGGTTATAAATCAAGAGGAAAAGGGATGGGGAATCCCATCCCACATGCTCGTATTTCTTAGGCAAAATAGAACACTTTCTCATTTACCTATGGTGGCTGACATGGCCTTGGGGCTCCCCCAGACCGCCAGCTGCTCAGTGAGGGGATCTGTGCCCCACTTGTTGACAAAATCATCATTAAGTAGTTTCATGAACAGTTTTTTTGAGGGTTTTATTTTTTAAAGATATTACAACATTAAAGACAAATGTCAAATTCACTTCAAAGTTGAACAATTCTCTCTAATCCCTGTAAAAGTTTTGTTGCATACTGCCATCCCCAGATGTACCCATTTATACCATTCTGATCATTGTGTAGATATGTTTATTCTATTTTCGCCCAGCCTATCAAATTGTTTCTGCTTTTCCACAGTCTCTATAATTTACATTTCAATTGTTCCATATTATTCCATTTCCATAAAATTACATTTCAGTTGTTTTATTATGTCAGTGCACCACGGTTTAATAAACCGTTTCTTCTAAAACTAGACAATTACATTACTTGCAAATTTTAACTGTTTTAAATAGTGCTGCAGAAAACAACTTACATAGATTGCTGTTTGCTTCTGATTAATTGTTTCTTTAAAATAAATTTCAAGAAGTAAAATTACCAAGCAGGGACGTGATGCTTTATCAATCGAGGCTCCATAGTTTTACCGTGTCACTGACGACTCAGAGTGCCCATCTCAAAACAGGTGTCCAGCATGAGCAATTATTTCCAGAGGTTTTTATTTTATTTATTTTTTGCTACTTTAGTTAAGTATGATGACATCGTGAAGTTATTTTAATTGGCCATATAGACAGGTACTGCAGTAGTCCCCTCCCCCCCTTTATTATGGTTTCACTTCCCATGGTCGCAGTTACCTGCGGTCAACCTCGACCTGCAAGCAGATGCTCCTCCTTCTGACTCATTGTCAGAAGGTCAGTACTGGTGTAACACTGTATCACGGTGCCTATGTCATACCCGTCATGTCATCTCATCAACTCACATCATCACATCACAGGAAGGGTGAGTACAGTGTCCAATAAGATATTTCAAGAGAGAGAGAGAGGTCACATTCGCGTAACTTTTATTACAGTATATTGTTGTAACTATTCTTTATTATTAGTTATTGCTATTAATCTGTTACTGTGCCTAATTCATAAGTTAATTTTTTTCATAGGTATGTATGTATAGGAAAAAAAAAACACAGTAGACATAGGGTTTGGTACTATCCACAGTGTCAGGCATCTGCTGAGTGTCTTGGAGCACATCCCCCATGGATGAGGGGGACTGCCGTATTCTGAGAAAACAAAAGAGCCAGTAGAGAACACATTTAAATCTGCCGTCCTCTTTTGCTGATTTCACCAGCCTTTCCCAAAGGGGGTGGCTGAGTGCCTCACGGTGGATGGGCACTGCCTACATGCCGGCGGGTCCCCCTCACTCTCCAGGGCCTCCTCTCAGAAAGCAGCAGACTTGGCGCCATTAATGGACAGCACACACGTAGGCACTTGGGCTCAGAGCTCCTTCTGAATGCCCAGCCCTGACTGCAGGGTCCCCCGGCTTACACGCTTTAGAGTCAACGTGTCCCCTGAGGTCAGAACTTAGTCATCAGAGCTCCGGTCAAAGCCTCTGCTTTTCTCTTCACTTAGATAGTTTCCAGTCTCCTAAGATGACCAAACCATCTTCTGTGGGTCACGTCCAGAACCTTGCCAGCACCATCTGGTTGGTGCCACATTAAGACCTATTAGAAACAAACAGGAATCCCTGGCAGAACTTTTAATTGCGGTGACCAGGCAAAGTGACAGCTTTGAAAAATGATGCTCAGCCTCATTGACCCAAATGAGTGAGCAGTCATCTGTCCTGAGGGTGGAGGTTTACCACTAGGTAAGCCAGCGTAATCATGTTTCAGAATGCCACCTCCACACTTCTCTGGTGGATTCCAAAGGACACCAGCAGGGGCGCACACAGGAGTTCTCAGATCCGGCTTACCTGGAAGCTTCTGGGACAGTTGTGATGGAAACCATACTGTTGCCAGCAGCAGTGGGCCCAGGGGTGTCAGGTCACCCCAGCCCCTCTGGCACACGTCCTGGGGAGCAAGGGCTCTGGCCCTATCTGGATACGTGGGCATCTATGAACCAGGCCAGACCCGGCACAGGCCAACCGGAGGGCCAAGACCAGGGCCCTGAGTCACCTGCTGCCACGTGGCCAGACAGGCTATGAACCCAGACCCATCACACATGAAAAGTCATATGTTTTTTTCACTATGACCTGACTTACCTGCCTTCTTCCCGTTTTAGTGGGCAGAGGCATATTTGTTTCCAAGGCTCCCTTGTCGTAATGCTCAAACTTGAGCATGCACAAACATTTCCTGGAGGACTAGTGAAAACCCATGTTTTGGAGCCCCAACCCCAGGGTTTCTGATTCAGTAGGTCTTGGATAGGGCCCAAGAATTCGTATTTCTAACACATTCCCCGATGATGCTTATGCACCTGGTTGGAACGCCACACTTTGCAAATCAGTGTCCTTGCCTATGACTAGTTGGAAGACAAGTGCAGTTGAGCACACAGCAAGAGGGCGCTACTGGCCTCTGTTTCAGTTATGATAAAAGGACTGCAGATTCACCCTGGCTGAGCCCCAACTCCCAGGAATGGATGGAACTGAGCTGAGAGGCCAGCATGGACACACGCGTGCGCGCACGCGCGCGCACACACACACACACACACACACAAACACATACCACAGACTTTGGAATCACAGAATCACCCTAAATCTCTGTTTCCTCCTCTGGGACCCAGAAAAAGAGGACAGGATATCTCCCCAGGTAGCTGGATTCAGAGTCCCTCTCATAAACTGTGGGTCTGCCTCTTGTCTCCAGGCCCTGTATGGACACACGCAGGCTGTCACGTGCCTGGCAGCATCGGTCCCTTTCAGCCTCCTGGTGAGTGGCTCCCAAGACTGCACCTGCATCCTGTGGGACCTGGACCAACTCACCCACGTGGCCCGCCTGCCTACCCACCGAGAAGGCATCTCTGCTCTCGCCATCAGTAACATCTCAGTAAGGCCCTGCCTTCTCAATGTCTGGGAGCCTGCCTAGCAGCATGGTGCAGTGCCCCAAGAGAAAACCCAGGGGCAAAGAGAGGCTGACCACCCAAGAATGTGAAGAGGCTCCCGATTGTGTGGAGTATTCTTTACCCAGACAGAGTGGAGCCATCAACATGGGCAGCATCTGGGTCTAGATTTTATTTTTTCCTTTTTTATTTCTCTCCCTCAGGGTGGTGGGGGTGGTGGGAAGTGTCTGTTCTGGCACAAGCATGAAGTTGGCTTTGGTAAGAGATCTGCTAGGCTTGACTGACTAATTCAGCTCACTGACTGCAAATCAGTGTTAACTCAGCAGGTGCTTCTGGTCTCCATGGCAGGAAGTGCTTCTGCTTGTCCCTCGGTGCTGGCTACCATAGATGAGCCCGTCAGGAACATGTGTGTGTGTGAGAGAGAGAGACAGAGACAGAAGAGAAAGAGTTAGAGAAATATATATCTAAATCTCAATATGGAGTTTCTCCCAGGCTGGAATCTCCATCATAGGGCACGGGGTTCCCTGAGGATTCAAAACCTCTGCATCTGCTCACGAAAGCCCCAGGAGTCCAGCACATGGATAGACTGGGCAAGGGGATAATAGAAGGAGGGGGAGATGATCAAGAAGGCTCCTGGTACCAACTTTAGTCAAAAGTGGTCTCCAGGTAGGCCTGAATCCAGGATGAATGTTACATGGGCAGATAGAGGGGGGATGGATGGATGGACGGATGGATGGATGATAGATGGATAAATGGGTAGATGGATGGATGGGGAGATTGAAGGATGAATAGGCAGATGGATGGCAGGCAGATAGGTGGATAGATGGATGGATGGATGAATAGGTATGTGGGTGGATGGATATTTGGGTGAATGAGTGGGTGGATAGGTAAATGGGCAGATAGAGAGTGGATGGATAGATGGATAGATGGATGGATGGTGGGTGAACAGATGAATTCTGAGATCTGAGAGAGCATAAAACCCATAAAGAATAATGTCCTCAGTCCTCAGAGAAGACTTACATCAGGACAACAACTTGTTGGCTTTAACTTGTCCTGAAACCAACCGAGTTCACCAACTGAGTACCTGCTGGGCCCAGCGCTAGGTACTGGGCAGAGATATATCAACATGGTCCTTGGCCTCAAGCAGACTCTATACCAAACAATTCAGGAAAAGACATGACAGAGCCAAGTCCAGGGGGCTATGGAGGGGCACTGAGTTGCCTACATCCCTTTTGTGGTTAGGGCAAGGCTCAAAAGCATGGCTCCAGCTGGTTTTATGAGACCTCGGTGACAGTGACCACTACACCATTGGCTATAACATAGACAAGGACTTGAGAAGAAAACTCTGGACATAACCATTACAGGAGATTCAATGGGGACATATTTCCTCAGAAATTCCCTTCAGAGGGACATTGTCCAATTTTATGAGCCATATACAATCATTCAAACCTCTGTCCTTGCCCTCCACCAGGTGATATCCAGATTTTCTTAATGGGTACAGGGCCAGCCAGCCAGGTATAGATAGGTCCCATGTCCAGAGCCAGGGGCAGTCTCCAAGCTGGGTCTTCTATGCCAGTCAGTATATGGTCAGGGAGAGGGCTGTGGGAGGAGTCCAAAGGGTGAGCCAGTCAGCTTGTGTCAGGGAAAGCAGTATCCAAACACATGATTGCAATAGGAAAATAGCCAGGAATTTGCAGTATGTGAAAACACAGCAGACCGATGAGTCATCTGGGAAGAAGTAGGTGTCTTAGAAGGTCCAATATTACCTTGGATAGTCTTCAGAAGATAGCAGGTTAAGGGTGATTGCATGTACAAACTGGCTGAGCAAGTGGCGGATGGGCAGGCAGTGAGCCCAGCATGGAGTAAAGCCGGCTCTCGCTGCTGCAGGGCACCATTGTCTCCTGTGCGGGAGCCCACTTGTCTCTATGGAACGTCAATGGACAACCCCTGGCCAGCATCGCCACTGCCTGGGGCCCTGAAGGAGCCATAACCTGCTGCTGCATGTTGGAGGGGCCAGCATGGGACACAAACCATGTCATCATCACTGGGAGTCAAGACGGCATGGTTCGGGTAGGTGTGTCTTGGGCAAAATGAAGCCATGGTACAAGAAAGTGTTTTTCTCTGTTCTGCTCACTTCTTCCAAGAGTCTAAATCTATAGGCTGCATTTCAAGCCATGTGGCAGGCCAGACCAGATCTCCACAGCAAATGAGGGCAAAGGCAAGTCTCCCTCCAGGCATAAAGTAAATAAATAAATAAATGAAATTATGTATGTATAATTTTATATACACATATACTCATGTAATGAAATAAACACTTATTATCACAAGGTGTGAAAGCCAAATGGTCAAATGCACAAGAACATAGCCCAGTGCTGAAAAGAAATATCTGGGCCATCCATTCACACACTTGCCCATCCATCCATCCACCCATCTATCCACCCACGAATCCATCCAGCTATTTATCTCTATACCTATTCATCCATCCACGCATCCTTCCATCCATCTGTTTTTCCATCTACCATCCATTCATTCATCTACATGTCCATCTATCCATCCATCCATCCAGTAATACATCTACCTACCTGCCCAACTATTTATCCCTCGACCTTCCTTCCTTCCTTCCTCCTTTCCTTCTTCCCTCCCTGCCTCCCTTCATTCCTTTGTTCCTATCCTTCCATCCAATGATCTATCCTTCCATATACCCATCCATTTATCAATGAACCCATCTATCCACCCACATATTTGTTCATCTATTCATCTATCTAAACACCTAACCCTGGCTCTGTGCCAAACTCTTCATACAAGCCATAGGGGACACAGAACTTAATGGTAATAGGCCCTTAAGATGCTCATATCCTAGAAGAGAAGAGAAAAACTACATGTATGCTATGCATGCTATGACCAAGATAATCAAAGAGTGCCATGGATCCTCTTAGGAAGGCCATGGCGAGGGAGAGCATCCTCCCTCAGCAAGAAACCAGGAAGAGAAGGAAACAGAAACACTGAGGTGTGAGGATTAGCACAAGGAGAAGAACAAGGTAATTTTTCTGAGACTGACAGGAAAGATGAAGGAATAAGTAAAGATAAGGAATCATTCAGAGGCTAACTCAAGAAACTGTCAATTGAATTCCACAGTTTATGAAAGGAAATGTCAAATATGCCACAAGGTATTCAAGAAAATGCCCATTGAATTCTACAAATATTTATGAAAGCTTGCTGTATGACAGCAAGAAAAAAGACTGAGGAAGGCCCCTCAAGAAGCCTTATCTGTGGGCTCTGAGGGGCACATGGTCTCTGAAGAGAGCAGGGCGTCCTGGGCTAGCCAGAACATGAAGAGGTCGGCGAGGCCTGGGCTTGGTGGGGTGCGGTCCACGCTGTGGGTCAGTCAGAGGAGCGTGGGCTGTCTGAGTAGCAGGTGCATTTCTTTCACAGGCCCCCAAGTCATGAGTGGGAGTCTTTCATACCCTCAGCACTCATTCATCCAGGAAAATAATTGAGCTCCTGGGATGGCCCAGCGCTGGGCTAGGCCTGGTGTGGAGCTCACAGAAGCATTAAGGGGAGGCTGGTCCTTGTCCTTTGGCTAAGGAACTTCCAGACTCAGCAAGTGAGAAGCCATATGTGGTCAGCCTGAGGACGCTCACAAGAGGGCTTGGGACCAAGAGCCAGACACAGAGGATGGGGAAGCCTAGCTGCCGAGTGGGGAGGGAGGCCTCCAGGGATGGCGGCCACAGGATGAGAAGGCATTAGCTAGGTAAAATGACAATAAGCCAGCTGCTGAGTATCACCCATAGAGCTGAGGTTGACGGCAGATGCCCTGTCACAGGAGTGCAGAGTGAACCCATCCAAGCTGCAACTGTGCTCGGCTGAAGCCCAAGTAATCTTTCCCAGAGAATACACTAATAGTGGAGGTGAAAGGGGACCAGGCTCCCACACCTTCCCTCAGAGTCCCTTGGACGTGAGGGAATGGGATGGGCCCGAGCCTACAGACAGGATCATTTCCCCAGCCATGGCCTTTTCTCTTTTCTGGACAGATTTGGAGGACTGAGGACATGAAGACATCTGTTCCTGGGCTGGCAGCACCAGAGGAGACCTCAGCCCCACCTCCAAGCCCTAGAGGTACCTGCCCTGCTCAGGGTGCGGGGCACGCTTGCCTTGCTCATTCTTCCCTCTCCTTTCCCCTCCTGTAGCGCCATTCAGGCCTACAGAGCCCAGGGAAGCCATCGGGTCTCTCTGGATGTTGACAAGTTGGGGGGACAGAGCACAGTTTATTGCAAGCTCCTGGCAGATGTGAAGCATCATGGAGAAGTCCTGTTGCATCCTGGCCCCATCATGCAGGGACCAGTGAGCTCTGGGCTGCTCCCTGGACATGTGAACTGTGGCGATGGTGGTTTTCAGGACCTCCTGAGCTTCAGAATTGCGGGGGTGGGGGGACATGCCTTGCAGAACTTGGTTTAATGTTCTCCATCTGCCTGGATGACTCTTCAATGCCAAACTTCCCAGCCTAGGGCCTGGGTCCAAATACCTACTTGCCTAGACAGCCAGGCTACAGACAGGAGCAAGGAGGGGCCAGGGAGGGGCCTTGCCATATGCCTGGGGAGAGGAAGTGGTTCCATAGTGCCCTAGCTTTCCCTGGGGATCCTGGTTCAACCCACCCAACCCCGTGGCAAGCTCCTCAAAGTGGGTCTGGGGGTCCTCTGCATCAGCATTGCCCAGAAGCCTTATTAAAAATGTAGATTTGGGTCCTGTTCTTACCTTAAACCCCAGCAAATGATTGGGGGTTGTTAGATTTCCATACCCGGCGGGTTCCCAGGTAAGTGTGGTGTGCACCAAAGTAAGAGAACAACTATTCCAAAGCCCTCTTTGGGTTGTGGCAGATGGGACTAAAGGAGGGAAATCTGCTCTTTCTTCTGCTGTCATGGCCACTGGTAGCACAGCTGGCATGGCCGCCATTACAGAACTCGGAGGGAGAGGGCTGACCAGGAGCGGCTTCCATGGTGCACACTTGCCATGCGTTCTCTTATTTGTCACAGCAACCGTGTGAGGTAGATTTTACTATGACACCCCTGTGAAGAATAAGGAAATTGAAGCACAGAGAGGCTTAGTAACTTGCCCAAAGTTATATGACTACTACAGTTTTCACTTCTGCCACGAGAGCAGACACAACCAGCTCAGACTCACTTCACACTGCCACACTAACCTCGACCACAGATACTGCCATGCATCACCATCGACAGCACCACCCCTGACCATAGACACAAAGGTCACCATCAAAACCATCACCTCCTGCTCGTCTACCACAGCTGTCCCAATGGCCCTACCATCACCTCCTCCAATGCAACAAACCTTTCTCAGCTCTATCTTCATCGAAGATTTTGGCCCAGGACTGAGACATCTTTCCTGGTGTGTATGACAACAGGAAACATGTTACCATGAAGTGTGGAGTCTCCTGTCATCATGAGTCTCTCTGGTTTGCACTGCATCCCAGGACCCCTGATCTTTCATGGGAGAGAATTTTCCAGAGTGCTGAGGGCTGCCTTCTGAAAAGAGTAGCCATTTTCAGTTAGTGCCCATTGAATTAGTTAGTTAGTGCCCAAGGAACTACTCCACACCTCCTTGAGTCATTTAGTCATCCATTTATGGTTCTTTCTTCACAGAAGCATACACTGACATCTGATCAGCTCTTACTAGGTCCCAGGCTCTGCACAGGGAATCCCTTCCTTCAAAATAGGGCCATCCGGAAACACTTGTCAATAATCTGGGCTGACCCAGAGCAGTGACCTCACAAGGATCTACAACCACATTCACTTCATTATTCCTAGTGTCTCAAGGGTCCTTTGGGACTACAGGGAATCAGCCCATCTCAGAGTAAAAAGAAAAATGTGTGGGGCTTGTGTATTCTAAGAAACTGAGAGCACTTCTTTGGAGAGCAGGGGTCAGACTTCCTCCCCGACTGCCACAGTCTTGGAAGAGAGCTAGCGCAGGATCCTTATTCTCTAGCCTGCCCATGAACAAGTCCGTGGTACACCTGCCGGAGAGCATGCCGATTCAGGCTTGGGTGCCACTGCCCGTTTCTGGAGCTATGGTGGTCCAATGAAGGAAAGGTAGATAAATGGATGTCTGCACAAGAATGTTGTGTGGATGGAAAGACAGATGAACAAAGGGCACCTCAGCGACATTCTGCTGATTCTGGAAGTGCCAGTGCATTCATGGGTTTCTACTCAGGATCAGCAGTTGTGCTGAGATTGTGCTCATTGGGAGTGGGGTCCAGAGCAATGGAAAATGAGATAAAAAGCAGGAGACGGGCGCCTGGGTGGCTCAGTCGTTAAGCGTCTGCCTTCAGCTTGGGTCATGATCCCAGAGTCCCAGGATCGAGCCCCACATCGGGCTCCCTGTTCGGCAGGAAGCCTGCTTCTCCCTCTCCCACTCCCCCTGCTTGTGTTCTCTCTCTCGCTATGTCTCTCTCTGTCAAATAAATAAATAAAATCTTAAAAAAAAAAAAAAAAGCAGGAGACAAGGCTCTAGACCTGGCTCTGTCCCAACAGCTTCTCTGTCCCTCAGTTCCCCCACTCCATGAGATGGAGGTGCTCCTGTACATCCTAACGTGATGACAGAAAAATAATAGGACATAGGCAAGAATCTACTCAACAAAATGCAGGTCGTCCTTATAATTTCACAGGCTTGAAAGAGCCTTCCCCCCTCATATACCGGCTGATGACATTGGGGAGCTCAAAGACAGTTTCAGGCTGGCAAGAGCCCCCTCAGGCCCAGGTCCACATCCTTCCCCTGCCGTTTGCCCTGACCTGCCTGAGGTCACCACTGTCAAATAGAATTATGTGCCCCGGTTGTAATCACAGTTCAAGGGAGGATTCAGGTGAAATGACATGAGGGCGCAGACACATTCATGGAAACCAGGCTGGGCCACAGTTTGGAGCTAGCAAGTCCATGTGCAGGCTTACAAACCCAAGCCAGTGGAGGTCTTGCTGTTCTCAAAATATTGTTCGAAATGGTTTTGCTGGAAAGCAACAGTATTGGGCATGACACATAGATATTTGCACACGTGTCCTGTTGGCGTGTATATCGCTGCATCCCTCAGATGTCGTAAGGGGCAAGAGAGGAGATCTTTGAAGATATTAAGGATGCTGCATTTGTGTACAGATGTAATCTAATTTCTGCCTGGAATTCATTTATTTGTCATTTGAAGCAAGGACCAACCCTGTTGAGCACAATTCATTTTAGGAATTGCCCCGTAGATTTGGACTCAATCTGGTACATAAAAAGTGCTTGGGGAAGGCTTGTTGTTTGGACTTTTGCACAAACACAAAATGCGCGTGCATTTCCCAGGGCACAGAAGGGGCCATCTGGGCCCAGCTGGGCCAGCGGCATCTTCCCGCCCGGCTGCCGAGGGACCTCGTGGGGATGTACCCTGCCGATGTCTCTCCATCTCACCCTTCCATGCTGAAGGAATTACTGTCTGTCCCCAAATGCAGTCATTAAAATGAGTGAAGTAACAATCATTGAGTTATATTTTTTGAAAAAACGTTCTCAGCATTTAATTATTGGTTGTGGTGTGAGAGGATTTAGATAAGTTGATAAAGCCGACTTTATGTAATTTATTTTTACTAGGCAATTACGGGCTGCATTACATCCTGGCAGCAAGGTATTGTGGGGCATCTTATTAAGCATAAAGCCAGTAAACACTGATGAACAATTTTGCTGAACTAGGCATGCAATTTAGAAAGCAATAATACACAAATCCAATTTGGTACACAATGGGTACCGCAGCACGTCAGCACATGTAACTATCACAGCCTGCAAATTAAATTGGGACGGCCCTTTTTGCAACAGCACAGGCCAAGATTAAATATATTTTCCCCCTCAATTTAACAAGTTGCTGACCACAAATATAAATACGTGTGTATATGTTTGTGGCCCTGCGTGTGGACGTACATGTGCATGTGTGTGAGCCCACTCGGGGTTTCGAACGATTCTCTTGCACGACCCCCACAGGTCACAGGTGGGAGAAGAATCTTGCCCTGTGTCGAGAGCTGGATGTCAGCCTTGCTTTGACTGGGAAGCCCAGCAAGACCAGCCCTGCGGTGACAGCTCTGGCCGTGTCCAGGTAACCAAGGCCTGACTTCTTCAGACCTCCAGCTGGGGGCGCCGGGGCCGCCCCTAGGAAAGGCCCCCCGCAGCTCTAGTCTCAGGCTGCCTGGCCCTGGAAGGTGACCTCACCACTGCAGGGACCTGGAAGGGCCCACCACGCACAAGAGGCAAACAAGGTGCCCATGTAGGGCCCTAGGACGTTTTTTTAACACACACATGTTCTTGCTCTCTCTCTCAAATATCCATGAATTCATGAAGAAATCTAAAAGGTAAAAGTGTATGGCTTTGTAGTTTCATGCTATAGAGAGACTTTTTTCCTGAGGCTCACTACCGATTATAACATTTGGTGTAGTGATGATCCTACATCACAAAAAAAAAAAAAGAAAAAAAAAAAGCCTTTTGAAAGCTCTAAGCCAGTGTAGAAGAGCCAAGTGTCAGACACCACCCTTGATAGACAGTATTTTATTCTTCACAGCTACCCTGTGGCAGTAAGTGGTACTTACTGTCATTAATCCATTCCACACACCAGGAAGTGTAGCCTCAGGAAGGCTATGGACTTTTGAGAGCTGCTTGCCTTCTTCCCTCACTGCCCTGGAGTGGGTGGCTCAGGGTCCGTGGTGGTGGGACCCACACAGTGTTCTAGAAGCCAGGCTGAAGTGAGGTAGGCTAGGGTGGGCCACGGGCAAAGGGACAGAGGGTCCAGAGCCCTACTTCTCTGAGGGAAACCCTGCCATTTGCTTGGCTGGGGGGACATCAGGCACACCTGGAGATGTGGGAGAGAAAAGTCTGGGCTTCACCTTGCCACTTGGAGCCTGGACATCTTGGAGTGTCTCTCCGTAGTCACGAAGGAGGCCGCAACCCTCCTAGTTCAAAAGTCCTCCTCCCCCGGGTCAGAACATTCTCCAGTTCTCCCAGCCCCTCCCCCTGCCTCAGGCGGAGGCCAGGTGCAGGCCCTCCGGGGTCCTGGACTGAACCCCCCGTGTCACAGCTGCCTGAGGGCCGACACTGGGCTCTAACGCTCCTGTCTATTCCTTCTCTTCCCAAGAAACCAGACCAGACTCCTGGTCGGTGATGAGAAAGGGAGAATATTCTGCTGGTCTGCAGAAGGGTAGGAAGAAAGAGACGGTGGAAGTCTGGCCGAGCAGCATGTGTCCTGAGCTGCAGCAGCACCCCGCAAATGTGGACTGACCCAGTGCCTGGGGCTCAGGAGAGTCTCCCCCGAGGAAGGGGCCGCTGGCCATCAGAGCTGCACACCCTGAACCACTCCACGGCCCGTGGGACTTTCACCTTGGATTGTCCAAGGACGCACTCTATAAAAAGGAAAGCACCCTGGGAGCCTGGGAGTGGCGATCTGGAAACCGTGACTTGCTCACAGGCTGACCACGAACTCGCGGGACTCACCTTTTCAGAGGGCTGATTATGTGGGGAAAAAAATTGGGTCGCTTACTAGAAACTAATGGGAAATATTGGATTGTCTTTATTTTATTAAAACAACTATTTTCCAGATGCAAGAGGGCTCGTGAGTATAAAATCACCACCCTTTTCCACTCAGTTGTTTGCCTCCCATACCTAGAAAGGCAAGAAGCCGTCAGGGACGCACAGCCCACTCTCAGAGTGTTTCTCAGGCCTTCCTGTCTCCCTCCATGGAACCTGGCTGTCTTGCAGGCTTGCCTGCTGGACAGGGGCTCATGGGGAGTGAGGGGCCACACTCAGGAGGCCTACTTCTGTGGCTGAGCCACAGGACGTGGACATGAAGCTGCCCATGTCAGCCTGGGAGATGGGGGAGAGACACCCCACCATGGTATGCCTGCCCTGTCTTTGTACCCCACAACAGTCTTGGGCTTGGCAGGCTCTTCCCAGAGCCTATCCTTACATGAAGGTCAAGGGCCCCAGTCCACATGCCAATTTGGAGCTGGAGCTCATCCTGGAAGAATCTGGGCTGCTGTGTGACTTCTGCCCTCCAACGGAGAATACGGCAGGTGAGGTAGTTAGTGGAGCCCCTCTGAGGAATTCCAGTGCCTTCCAGAGCATGGGTCTCAGTCCCGTCATTGGGCACTGAAGGCATCACTCTATTCCAGTGTCTTCTCTCCACCCCCAGCCTTTCAGAGCTCCTTGAGAGGAAATTCACTGCCTCTTCAATGAAGTCAAGTCCAGGTGGGTGCATGGGGATTTAGGGTAATGAAGCTCCTTAACAACTCCCCTACCTGAGATTTCCTCTCCAGGGAACACAATCCTTTCCATATTTCTGCAAGCCCTGGAGAGACCCTGATGAGTGTCCCTACCCAACGTAGCGCAGACCTGGGGATGGCAAGAAAATGGAGTGTTTTATGGCCTGGGTCATCCGGCCTCTGGGGGCAGTGAGTCGATTTAAAGATAAATTTTAAGAACATAGAGGTGGCATAAAGCTATGACAAAGACAGTGAGCGAGGGATGGATAGGAAAGAGTGATCTATCTGTAAATTTTGAGGGCTTTGCAAAGGGCAAGATGGAGGAGGAGGTGCTTCTGAGGTCCGTTGCGCCCCTCCCTGGATGAGAAGGGCCTGTGTCTGACCCCAGGGCCAAGGATCACACCACCCCCAGCACTGTCTGCATGGGCTATTAGCAAAGAGCCCATTTGCAATCCCCTTGTCAGTCTGGGGCTGCACCGAAGGACCATAAATTGAAGAGCAGAGAGCACCACTCCCCAGGAAGGCCAAGAAGCAGGGTCATAAATATCAAGGCTGGGCCTGCTGTCATGTTTCAAAACACCATTCATTGCATTTTCCTGGGGCTGAAAGGTCTGATGGCCCAAAGGCTGCCTTGGGCTCATTCACTTGACAAACATATCCTGAACGCTGCCTTTTGCTTCCTCACATCCCTGGGAAAAGTGGGGGAGGGCATCAGATCTTACTGTTGGAGTCTTGGGGCTAAGATGTCCGTGCAAACAAATGTGACTTTGAGGTGGAACGCTAAAGAGAGAGATGCACCGTGCCCAAAGGTAGGCCCCGGGCGATATTGTGGCTGTCATAGTCTGCTCAGGCTGCCAGGACAAAGTGCCACAGGCTGGAAAGACTTTTCACAGTTCTGGAGCCTGGACGTTCAAGATCAAGGTGACGGCAGGGTTGGTTTCTTCCATGGCGTTTCTCCCTGGCTTGTAGGTGGCTGTCTCTCTCTGCGTCCTCACATGGATCGCCCTCTGTGTCTGTCTGTGTCCTAACCTCCTCTTCTTATAAAGAAAGATACCAGTCATGTTGGATTAAGGTCCATCCTCATGACATTTTACCTTAATTACCTCTTTAGAGATGTTATCTCCAAACACTGTCACATTCTGAGGTCCTAGGGATTGGGACTTCAACCCACGAATTTGGTGGGACACAGTTCAGCCCGGGACCCTGGCTGAAGGAGGTGGCCTTAGAGCAAAGCCTGGAAGGACAGACGTGACTTAGCCGTGTGCAGGTGGAGAACAGGATGTTGCAGGAAGAGGAGACCACACCGGCGAAGGTGCAGGGCAGGCCAGGCCGGAGCCAGAAAGAGCAAGCTGGCAAAGAGAGAAGGTGGGTCATGCAGAGGCTGGGAGGAAGAGAGGCTGTGTTTCCAGGAGCTGCAGGGGCTGCAGCCAGCACGGGCTGGCGGTGGGGCAGGGCCAGCCGGAGTAAGGGGGCAAAGATGGGCCATCCACCCCAGAGATGGATGCCCCAGGGCCCAGCTCACAGAAGATGCTCCACGCGTGTTGCTGATGGACGTGGCGGCACAGATGAATGCATAAGCCGTGGTGGCAGGCCCTTCCGAGCTGGTGGCCCTGGGGGCGAGGAACAGCTCTGAGGGACGGCAGGCCTGGCAGCAGCGCCCCCATGGCGGGGGGCGAGGGGAAGCAAAAGGGACTGAAAGTGAGAAGAGACGGGAGGAGACCGGCGAGGCCCAGGACGTGTCTGGGGACGGTGTGGGGGAAGGCGGCCCAGGCAGCAGTGGAGCGTCCGTGGGAGCTGGTGGGAGCCGGTGGGAGCTGTGGGCACAGCGCACCCGAGCAGGAGGCAGAGGAGGAGTGGAGGAGAAAGGCTCCCTGTTCACGCACTCCAGCAGCGGGGCCCGGGGAGACTCTGGTGAGCGCCTGGTAGCAGCCTCTGGCCCGGAGCTAGGAAAGCAAGAGCCCCACGTGCCCCCTGGGCCTCGGGTGCAAGCCTCTGGGATCGGCTCTCCGGCACTGGGGGAGGAAAGCCACTCTGCACACAGATCCAGAGGGGCCAGGGACCCCCCGCCATCCCGGCCCTCACCGCTGACCCGGCCCCGCTGCGGGCCCCGGCAGGGTCAGAAGCCGAGTATGCTGGAGGACAGCCAGAGCAGGCCCCAGGCGGGGTGGAGAGGGAGCCCCGGGAGCAGCCGGGGTCCAGACTGACAGGCTTCGGCTGGCCTCTGTATTTCACCAGGAGCACCAGCAGACGGGGCTGAGCTGCGAGGGTCAGGCGGATCCAGGCCCCTGCCAGCACCCCAAACCTAGCAGTGACGAGGGGACCCCAGAGCAGGAGCCCTGCCAAGAAGTCTGGATGTAGCTCGGTATCTGGAGACTGGAATCTGAGGATGGATCATGAATAAGAGCAGTTCCCCGGGGCCCCGGCAGCCTGAGCCCTTTCCCCAGATCCCCACTTCCTACCAACAGCAGCCTCAGTTTCTCTAACTGTAAAATTGGATCCTGGTGTCTACCTAATGGCCTGTCATGAGTTAATGTATCTGTTTATTTTATGGAGGGCTGAAGCAGACAACAGACTGCCTGTCCTGACATGATGCATCCTTCGATATATCACAGATTCAGTCACTCACCGGTATCTTCTCTTGCTGAGCCCAGCCCTGTGCCAGGGTCCTGGGGACAGAGAACCCTTCTGCCTGTTCTCAGGGACGCTCCCTGCCTGGGCTGGGGAGAGGCACAGAGAGAGCATGACGGGAAGCCCGCTCCCGCGCCCGGAGATTTCTCAGGCTGGAGCAGGGATGTTCACGCAGGATAGCATTGCTTCAGGAACATCCTGGAATGCAAGTCCAACTCTCAGTGACCTGGTCCCTCCTAGAGCAGAAGCCATAGCCTGCATGTTCAACAGTTTCCCAGGCCGTGCTGATGAGGGTTCCAGAGTGCCCACTCGGAGACATTCTGGAGTAGACAGTGACAGGACCTGGCAGGGATGGAGGTCATTTGCCCTCTGCTGCCTACCCAGCAGTCTCAAGACAGGTGGTGAGGGGCTTCCCTGGCCTCTGGGGTCAGGCACCCCCATGTTCCACTCACTTTCACTGGCTCAGCCAGAGACAGTAGCTGTGCCCAGTTCTCGCCCAGTTGAGCTCCTCCCCATGACAACTACTTACTGTGAGACCAGGGGCGCCTGGCTGGCTCAGTCGGTTGAGCGTCTGATTCCTGGTTTCAGCTCAGGTCGTGATCTCAGGATCCTGAGATCGAGCCCCCACTGGGCTCTGCGTCCAGCGGGGAGTCTGCTGGAGATTCTCTTTCCCTCTCCCTCTGCCTCTGCCCCTGCTCACTCATGTGCACGCAGGCTCTCTTTCTCTCTCTCTCTCAAAATAAATAAATAAATAAATAAATAAATATTTTAAAAAACTGTGAGAACAGCCCCCACCCCCCAAGCCCACCACTGCAATGACAGAGGGCTCCCACACCCTGATCCTGGGAAAGCCTCAGCTCTGCTCACCGTTCCAAGTAAATGCTGCTTTCCCACCCATTCATCACAGTAATGCTCATCCTGACCTTTGGATTTCTACCAACTCTGGGAGGCCAGGGAAGAGAATCCAGTGCAATGGACATCCCTCTAATTGCAGAAAGGAAGGCAGGGCTTTCCAGTTCAGTCTGCAAAAGCGCAAGATCAGGGTGTGCATTTGCATCAACCCTCTGGGAGACAGGTTTACCCACTGTGGGTCCCAGCAAGGCTCAAGCCATGCCCACCTCTCTATCTGGACAGGCTTGGGCTCACCTGGGACATACTTAGCCTAAAACCTTTTCACTGCTTATCAGAAGTTCAAATTTAACTGAATGTCTTGTATTTGTACTTGTTAAGTCCCCGTGCCCTGCTCCCTGGACCTCCTAGAGGCAAGGAAGAATGGTGGCCTGCCCAACGACCCGACACGCCCATCATATTCAGTGCACGACGGTGAATTGCTTCTGTGAATTGCTAGAATCTGGTGGAGGGACCACAAGGTGTTCTTTGTGCCACCACCATGTTTCCTCTGGCCCCTGCTCTCGGCAAGCATACCTTGACCTTCTGGTTTTGTTCCTTTGTGCTCTGGACTCCATTTGGGACAGCAGCTGCCTCCCCCAGGCTCAGCCAGCAGCTGGGAGCCAAGTCCTGAGAACCCAGTCACGGGCCTGCAGAGAACTGAGACTGGATTTGGTTACATTAGCATGCATCCAAGCAGGGCACATTTGGGGAGGAATAGACTCTTCATATGAAAATCCTGATGAAATTTGTTTAGCATAAAATCAAATCTCTCTAAGCCAAAATCAGTTTTGCCTTAGTAAGTTCTGGGTACATATCA